AGCCCACGATATCGATACTGTATCATCACATTAAATGATGCGATATATCGATATTTCAGTATTTTTGCACACCACTAAGTGTAAATGATAATTCAGACTTATATTAACTAAAATGTGTGCACACAAATTAGAATATAAGTCTAAATGAAGGAATTAAATTAAACTATGTGTGCTGTAATTAACTTAATGTAAATGAAATGAAATAATACTAACACTGGAGTGGTGGCAGAGGTGTCCACCACAATCTCCATGGCAACGGACCCACTCGTCACATTAACAAATTATAGGTGCATGAGCAATATTTTTGTGTTCAGTATTTATTTTACCTGTATTCTTACTATAAGGAACCTTTTCTTGTCCTTTGTAGTTTAAGTGAGTCGGATGATTAACATAATCATGACTCATACTTGGTCCCTTTCTTCTCTGATGTACGGAGTGTTTGATTGTGCTATATATTGTATCAGCGGCATAAAGTGGTCTTATTGTCATGGCACTGTTTTCTGCCACAATCAAACAGAAAACACACACCGATATCTTAACATAGGTGCAAAACAAAAATACAGACATGAAAAAAATATTACAAATGTCCGATGTCCAAAACATTTTTATTTTTAGATTATGTTTTGACAAAAAGCCTTCATCAGATAATTTCTTTCCTTTTTTTCTTGCGTTGGGCCACAGTATCTGAGTGAACTTTTCATTTTTGAAGGTAACAGGCCAAACAACAAAGTGGTTTTAAAAGGTTTTTAATAGATTCCGTTCACATGCCATGATTTCCAATGGAGGGTAGGGCCTGTGTAACTCTATGGGAGTTTTTGAAAGAAATATTGCATTTTATGATCAACAATATTAAAACGTACCATTATTTGTTAGGGAACTTGGTGTATTACTCGACATATGGCACATATACCGACAACTAATCATGTCTTTGGGATTGAATAATGGCACCACAAGAACTACAACAGTAAAACTTTGACGCTATGGAAAAACTTGACACTCAATACCAATTCGGAAAACATTATGACAATTTTTTCTGTAGACAACTGGTGATTTTCAGATTCTAAAATGGGGCGCAAGAGCCAGTTTTTCCTGTTGATTACATTGTACATGAAATATCAGAAAGGTAAATTCCCAAATATGGAACCTCATCATTTTTGACTCAACCCAAGACCATGTTATATTGCAACAAAAATCTGCAGTTGAACAATATTCATTTTAGCTGCCCCCCATTTGTATTAAATAATATTGGCCTATCGAACACTGTGATGTCATCTGAAACCCAGCAAGAGAATGTGATATTTAACATTAAATCATAGTAAAAATGTTTATACTACTACGTGGTTTTATATCTGTGTAATCCCTCAGTAGTCCAGATAGGCTCCATAGTGGTCTATGGGCAATGGGTGTAAACTAGTCTATGTGAATTTGTGTATCATTCATTCATTCGTTTTTCAAAATAAAACCAAAAATAAGAAAATTTTAAAAACAACTATTTTCTTCATTATTTGTCTCCAAAACCAAAATGAAAAAACATAAGGATTGGATTTTGATTTAGTGTTTAAATGAATTTGGAGACAAATAATGAACAAAATTGTAGTTTTTTAATTTCTTATTTTTTATTTTATTTTGAAAAACAAATTAACAAATGATACACGGATTTATGTGCTCTTATACATTTTAATACAGTTCAAGATCATTAATTTCTGTCTTGTAAATATGATTTTTTAGTACCAATACCTGGTCATTTTTGTATCAAGTTTCAGTACAAGTTTTAGTATTGATTAGTATTTGATTTTTTAACTGTTTGTTATTATTCAACTGACCTGGGTGAAAGAACAACTGTGGAAAATACTAAAATACTTGAAGGTGCACTATGTAACTTTTTTGGTTGGGGCTCTGTCACTTGCTCATATTGCTCTGCCTTGAATGTCCCACAGTGTGACATTAAACAGCTCTTCCTTACATTTATTCAGTTACAGGTGGTTTTATGTGGACTGTAACTTGGTCTGGTTTGGTCTCTGAGAAGATATGCTGCAAAAAACAAAATCTAGTCAAAGTTAAGATCACTTGAATTAAGAAAGTTTTATCGTGATTTCAGTCAATTTCACTTGACAAGTAAAATTGTCTGCCAGTGGAATAAGACTTTTTGTACTTAAAATATGAAAATACATCTTACTACATTTAAAATAAGAAAAACAACAACTTTTTGCACTTAAAATAAGAAACACAATTGAATGTTGCTTGAATTAAGAAAAGCACACTTATTCCACTGATAGATAATTTTACTTGTCAAGTTGAATCATACTCAAATGAAGTAAAATGATCTTAATTTAAGTCATTTTTACTTGCCTAGATATAGTTTTTTTCCAATCTAGAACGGTTTAATGCCATACTGTGAAACATTCCAGACAAGGCAATAACATCTCCATCTTTGACGGACACCAGAAAAATTACACAGTGCAGCTTCAAATTCAGTTGTTTATCTCCAAAACAGCGATCGTATGCCCAGAATGTACAAATACCTGGTGTCAAGTCTCAGATCTGATCTACTAGAAGATGCTGAGTATTAATAAACCAAATGAGGGCTGTTATGTTTTTGCTAAAATAACAAAAAACATTATTGGCCTCATTTGTCACACTGCTGTCAGCTGTGTGTTGAGATAAGTGCCTGTTGTGTTGGCTGCCTTCTCATATCTTCTCCTTGTCTCGTCTTCTCAGGAAACCAACGAGCTCGTGGCTATAAAGAAGTTTAAAGACAGTGAGGGTAAGTGAACGCATCACCAAAAGCACAGGTGGTGGAAGTACTTGAAGTGTGCAAGGACTAATACATGGTTAAAATGAATGGAGGGACAGTTACTTTGACTGGACTGGACTGGACCAGATCTAAACCAGGACTAGATTAGAACAGGTCTACATTAGGCTTAAACTGGGCTCAGAGCAGGACCGAACCAAATGTGAGCTCACCCTTCAACAATGATGTTATTTTGTGACTCAGCAAAAACAATTATATGTAAACAAGTTGAATCTTTTATACAGTTTTAAGACCAAAGTAAGAGTTTTAATGAGAGGAGATAAACAAAAATAAAGTAATGGGAGGAATCAAACTTTACAGAGGCTGTTGATTTAATGATATTTGCCATATTTCAAATTAGTTGGGGCCGTTTCCTTTCTTCTATCCATGGGGCTAATTATGGGACAGGTATTTCAAGTTATTATGAGTTTGAATCATTTGAAATATTCACACTACAATGCTTTATGTGGTAAATAAAGTTTTCTGCAAGTTCTGAGAGTTCATACTTCACTATGATTGGTTAATTCCAAGTGTAAAGGCCACCACACCTTACAGGATTTTTCAGTCTTAAATGATTTTTAAACATGCGACAAAAAGTGCACACCACAGACACAAAGAGAATCTTATGAAATTTTAAATCTCTGATCTCAAAGACTTCTGCGGGATATGTCTGCGTACCACTGGCTTTAACACTGTGAGCGCGGTCACATCAGCTCTTTCCTGTCTACAGTAAAACCATTTGCTCTGAGATAGAGGTCTGTGCGGGACAGAATTTTCAGTCCCACTCCCGCCCTCTCCCGCAAAGTATTGTAATTTTCAGTCTTGCTCCCGCCCGGATCTGTCACAGTCGGATGTGTCATCCATCCACGAATCCTGCAAGATGGGGATATTTGCTTTCTTAAGCTCTATCAAACACGGAGAAGAGGAAAGAAATTGTCTAAAATGTGCACGAGACTAGACCACATCCACAAATTTAGGCTCCTTAAAATGTTTTTCTTAATGCCAAATAAAATATTCAGCACAAATGATGTATGATAGACATACATGAATCATTTGTATATTTTACTTTACACTCATATTTAGTTTGCGGGACTGAAGTTTATCATCCCACCTGCACCGCACTGTTTGCGGCGGGTCCTGGGCCTCTCGCAGGAGTGCAGGGCTCTACTTTGACACTCTTAAGTGTGCAAAAAAATTTGAGCACTGCATTTCTAGTTTAGATACAAGACAAAACTGTGTTATTATTATTTGTGAAATGTGTTACAGTACTCCAGATATGTGATTTTTAAAGCATAAAAGATTGGAGATAAAGTCCACAGGAAGTAGAGTCACTATCACTAATCTGCAGCTTCACCTTGATCCGGTGCGGTGTGTGGATGTAAACAGATGTAAACAGACACACGTGAGGAACAACTCTATCCTTTACTTTCAAATAATGCCTCAAACTGGACTAATAGTTCTGTTTTGTGGACTGGATGTCATTATTTGAGGAGGACAATTTCTATGGATAATGTGGATGAGTTGCTGCACCTTAAATATGCCACTTTTTACAAGAGGTGAATGATAAAGTCTTCTCATTTTCACTATATCCTGAGTTTGTATCTTGCTCCTGTTTCCGTCACTCCTCTGCCCCTGACTCTTTGTTTTATTGGCTGTTGTCGTAGCATTGCTGAGGTTTGATGGTTATGATCTGACAGAGCAGATCAGAGTTACACTGACGCCACACATGAGGAGTGCAGCATCTAAAAATTGCACACGAACTCCGGGAGAAGAATTCACAGGCAGAATCAGGCAAATTCTCCTGTAGTGTGTGGGGGCCTTTAGGGAAACGATTCTGTGTTTCAGCGTAGAACTGATTTAAACAGATGAGCACTGGATTATATCACCATGGTATCACCAAAATAGCTAAATCATATCATGGATGAGATCACAACTGTATTTTTTATTACTGTTGCCCAGGCGTAGTTATAATTGTGTTATGTGTAATTATTACTATACAGTCTTACAGATGACACACATTTTATTGCTCTAGATTCCAAGAGTAAGAGAGTCAAAGCACTTCACATGACCCCCCAAAACAACTTAATGACCTGACTTTATCAAACTTCTCCTGTGGTAGAAGCAGATTTGGTGCAGTGGAGCGGTGCCATATTTATCCCTCTCTGTCTGATTAAATGTTACAGAGAATGAAGAGGTCAAGGAGACGACGCTGCGCGAACTCAAGATGCTTCGGACGCTCAGGCAGGAAAACATCGTGGAGCTCAAAGAGGCGTTCAGGAGGAGGGGCAAACTCTATCTGGTCTTTGAGTACGTCGAACGGGTCAGTGCTTTTTATTATTATCTATTTTATCTATAATATCTTATCTTAAAAGTGCACTATGCAACTTTTACGGTGGAAGATCTGCCACCTGCTTAAAGATACTATTATCTAGATTTTTCCACTGCATTAAACAGACTAATCTCCATGGAGACAAGCAGTAACAGGTCAGATCTGTGGAGAGGCTAACCCAGGGGTGGACAAACTTTTTGACTTGTGGGCCACAAAGGGTTTTAAAATTTGACAGAAGGGCCGGACCAGGAGTAGATGGATGGAGTTTTTTGGTAATCCACCTCATAAGAGAAAAAAAATTACATGGGATACGTAGAAAACATATTGAAATATCACATAATTGAAAATCATTACAAAACATTGTAACAAAATATCTGTCTTTCAAGTCCAATGGTATTTACTATTTATTGAAATTAATTTTTAAACACTGAAAATCATCATTATTATTATTCAAGTTCGGTGGGGCAGATTAAAAAGATTAAAGGGCCGCCTATGGCCCCCGGGCCATAGTTTGCCCACCCCTGGGCTAACCCCTTCCAAGTAAGAATGGATGTATTTTTAGCAATAAAAACACATGCTGCTTAGTGAAAAAAAGATTGCTAAGTTTAAAGGAGGGAGGGATTCAAAATTAGGACCACTGCCTAGTAATTAACAGTTCTAAACAAAATAGTATATATTTTAAATGGTGAAAAGTTCTCAAAATGTCACTGATATAAAAAAAGAAGCTGAAACTAAAGAAAGTCTTGAATGTCTATCTCTGTCTCAGTATACCTGCAAAGCATTTAAAATACTAACACTACAACTTATTTTCACCTCATTTTTTTATTTATTTATCTATCTTTTTTTTTATTAATCCATTGCTCTCCCCTGCACCTAAGCTCAGTGCTACAGTAAATGCCACTGCTGTGTGCTATATACAGACTTTCAGTACGACAACTCGGTTAAGCAAAAAACACGTCTCCATGGAAACGTATGAGCAGTGATGTAATGGTATTCCCCACTGTGTTGCCAGGGTTTCCAGCCAACACTTTATTTCTTTGCAACATCTTCTTCCTCCCGCTGCACTACTGTCATTTGGTGTCCTCAGCTTCCTCCCTCCCTACCTCCTTCCCTCTCTCTCATCTTCCCTGTTTCTCTCTATCTCTTATCTTTTTCTCTCTAGGTTATTAAACTACAGCCTGAAGTCAATATTTGTATTTATAGTTTGATGATATTAATATTTTTAACACAATTTATCAAAGATGTACTATGTATTTTTTTCTATGTATGTATGAATAATTATGTACTGTCCAATTTGGAGATTTTATGGTATGGAAATTATCCTGGAGAATTACAAATACAGGTGTTTTATTGCTAACAAAGTCATTGAAGTATATGTTTTGCATTTACCTCACCACAGCTCTGACCTGTAACTTGACCAGGTTGAATCACCTTCCTGTCTCCATAGACCTTTTTCACTATGGCCGGAAGTTCCGCGATGTAGGGTAAACATCACTTGCGTTAATGCTTTTCTATGGCAAAATATCTGTTGGAAATGTCTTGTGTATTTTCCACCAGCTTCATAAATTTGCCCCATCCCCAAATCTTCATCCAACAAGGTCGACATCAAGGTAAGAAAGACGAAAACGTAAAGGCGAATGACGACTAGCACTGGCGAACTACTCCTGAGCAAAACTAACATTATGGTCGTGAATAAAACATAAGTAACTTGTTCACTCAGACTGATTCTGGGATTAAAATTTAAAATCGATTTCATGATGTAGATGTAGATATTTGCATAAACAGAGAGATTTGTGCAGTTATCCAGTTGTGGATAAATTCAGAATATGTCCTTTGTCAATTGAAGATTTAATGTTGGATAGGCAGATTTATGAGGCTGGTGGAAAATACACGAGACATTTCCACAGATATTTTGCCATAGAAAAGCATTAACGTAAGTGACATTTACCCTACATCGCAGCGCTTCCAGCCATTGTGAAAAAGGTCTATGGAGAGATAGGTCATTTCAATGCAGGAACGTGAAACATTTCATGGAGACAAGCAGGTGCAGAGCCTCCAGAAAAATTACATAATTCCCCTTTAATGTATTTATTATGTTAATTCCCCCGCTCTTGTCTTTGGATGGAAAACAATTTTGACTCTTGGTTTTGGCAATTTATCTCTCATCTCTTTCTCACTCACTCACAAGATTATAAAAGAGTGCACATCAAGTATTCTCCAAAAAGTCTGATTACATTTACAAAATATTAAAACTGTCATTTTGTTTTTGTTTATCAGAATATGCTGGAGCTGTTGGAGGAGCTGCCCACCGGAGCCCCCCCTGACAAAGTCCGCAGTTACATTTACCAACTCATCAAAGCCATCAACTGGTGCCACAAGAACGAGATCGTGCACAGAGGTAAGAGCAGATTTTAAACAGCATGTTTTTTTGCTCAAGATTAAAATTGTAATGCATTTGTTTAATTAAGGACAACCTACTCTGCTAGTACATATTAATACCAATACTACATCAATTATTCGACTTGCGTGTCCTGAAATATTCTGCTTTCACCTAACACCTCTCCGCCTACTTCCCTAAACGAATCTGTGTGTGTTTTGTTTTTGTTTTTTTTTAATCTTCAATAAAAACACATAAATTAAAATCCACTTCTTGCTAGGGTGAAATGCAACTCTATTCTGCACCGTAAATAGGACGTTAATGATACCCATTTCAAAGCAATTTTTGACCAATTTTCCAGTTTACAATGACTTAGACTTAGACTTAGACAAACTGTATTGATCTACAAGAGAAATTATTTGGACATGGTAGCTTACTCATCACAATATAATTTAATAACAAAGAATAAAAACTATAAATGGTAATAATAAATTCTAAAAAAAGATAGCAAGAGACAGCTGTCAAATAAGGCATAATTATATAAATGTATATGTACAGGTCAAAATAACATAGAAAAATAAGTAATTAAATATAAAATCTTGTGGGAAGACAGGACATAAGGTTATTTGAGAGAATGTAAAGTGATCATCTATAGTTTTATACTCTTCAGTGTTGGTTAAAGGTCCTATATTACACAAAATTGACTCTTGTGAGCTTTAAGTCATGTTATAATGCTATTATCTCCTCAAAAACAAGAAGTTGTGTTTTGTTTCATGCACACACACTTGAGTAAACCTTTATATTATTATGTTTGCATCGCCAAAGCTCAAAATGCTCTGTTCCTTCTTGTGATTCGTGAAGCTGTAGTTTTCAAGTTACCAGCTACATTTTACTGTTTATTCAGTAAAGGTTGGCAATCCAGGGCTGTCATTATCTAAACGATTTTAGTGACGGTGTATGAAGTTTAAAAACACAGTGGAGCGCTTTCTGTACCACATGACATTAAACAGTGGAAGTGTTTTCCATTTGAGAGAAGAACTCAATTTAAATATGCATGCTAAATTGTGTGTAAAACATGTGTGAATGAAACAAAACACAACTCCGAGTATGTTTTGATGAGAAAACAACATTATAATCTAGATCAGAAAATAGTGTAATATGGGCCCTTTAAAGGTCATACATTAGCAACTTTATCTCCTGATTTTACTTTACAGCTGTTTCTATATTTAGATTATGTCAGCAGATGCTTTTCAATCTCTTAGTGACAAGTTTGTGCCTTCTGCAGATATTAAACCGGAGAATTTGTTGATCAGCTCTGAAGACGTCCTCAAACTCTGTGACTTTGGTGAGTCCTTGGTTCAGTTTTTGTGTGTGTGTGTGTGTTTGCGTGTGTATGTGTGTCTGTGGATGTGTGTGCTGCTGTCATCCTGGTTCGATCCATTGTGTCTTTGTCAAATAAATGTAATTGACTGTTAAATCAAGGTGTTGGTGAAAGAGGGAGGAGAAAGAAGAGAGGAGAGAGAGAAAGAAAGCGAGAGAGAAATGGAGATAGAGAGTTGTTTTGGCAGGGACCCATCAGTTATTACAGAGTGCTGTTTGGATCTATAATATTACATTGTTCTCTCCTTTTGTCTTTCCCCTCTGAGCAAAATAGTGTTACTGCAGTGACTTTGTTTTGTCTTTCCTGATACAACTCTCGCTCTTTCTCTCTCTCTATCCACTCTTCACCAGCTCAGAGATTACTTGTATAATGTATATTTTTCTGTATTTTTCTGCAATCAATAATTTGGATTGATTAGGGAGTGACTGAAAATAGCATTTGTTTTCTTAAAGCACAACAAAGCTGATCCAATTGTTTTAACTTTGCATAATATTTGTTTATCCTTCAGGTAACTATGAACATAACTGTGTAAATTAAGCTTTAGTCATCATTGCCAGTAATCTTACTGCAATTTTACTAACCCAGTTCATTTTTTTTAAATTGCCATATCAAACACTTGCACATTTTATTAAAAGTATAATATTCCTACAGCCTTGAAATTGCTGCGCTGAAGTGGTTATGCTTATAAAAACTGCTAGAATGCAATGAATTAACTTCTGTTCTAATGATATGTACCCCTCAAAACCTGGAGCTTTAAACCTATCATGGCAAAAGTGTCACAATTTATGACAAATATATGACAGTGGGGCGCCAGTGGCAAAAACTGTTGTTGTGTCCTTAGGCAAGACACTTCACCCACATTGCCTAGTATGAAAGTGGTGTGTGCATGAGTGATGGTGGTGGTTGGAGGGGCCGATGACGCCGATTGGCATGACAGCCGCGCTTCCGTCAGTATGCCCCAGGGCAGCTGTGTTTACAATAGTAGCTTATCATCACCGGGTATGAAGAAAAAGAATAATGAGTCTATAAAATGCTCTGTAAAGCGTCTTTGTGACATATGTCTGTGAAAAGCACTATATAAATAAAGACTTACTTACTTACTTACAGATTACATACTGTAAGTCTATACTTCCTCTGCAGGTACATACACAATAATAATGATTTCAATTATGAACCAAATATTCATAATTTTTACCCTAATCAAACAGTATTTTATTGGTTTATCCCTGTTCTTACCTCTTGTCAAATGCATCCACACTGTATTCTTTCTTCCATATTTCTCAGGCCATACAGTTGGATGGGTCCATGTTCAAAAATCACACTTTAATTAGGTTTGCATATTTGGCTGCTGTGTTGGAGCTTGTGACTCAGGCGGGGTGAGACTTGTTTGTTATTCACTGTTGGAGCTTTGGCTTTCTGTTTATTGTGATTTTTATGTTAAAAATGGACCGGGGCTGCACCAGTTACCCAGCCAGCCCCACTTAACTCATTACTGTGACCACGTTGTCATACGAGCTGTCCAAACAAGCCTACTGTTGGTTACACAGCCGCTCAGCTAATTAAAGACATGTTTTTTTACTGTGGAAAAGCTGCTAATTGGGCCGTATCAGATCAGTAGAAATTAATAAGCAAGTATTTATAATTGGTTATCATTTTGTAGGTTTTGCTCGTAATCTCTCAGAAGGAACTGATGCCAACTACACAGAGTACGTGGCTACAAGATGGTACCGCTCACCAGAACTGCTGCTGGGGTAAGTCTATATTTTATGAATGGGGGAATGTAAGCCTGGCCAAGAATGGAGAGTTCATTTCTTGTGGATGAATAAAAATGGGTGCACATCAGATCACATTACTACACATTGCAGAGCATATTTTTATTACTTTGTTTCTATATTTTATTTTTTCTTGTGCATATTACATTTATTATTATCATTTATAGTTTTTCTCTTTGTTATTATAATATATTATGATGTGTGAGCTACTATGACCAAATAATTTCCCTTGTGGACTAGTAACGTTCATCTAGTTTAGTTTATTTGTTTATTTATCATGTACAATGCACATAAAAACATTGATCTACACAAAGAAGTCATATGTTTGTGCTATATTGTGTTATAGCAAAATTGGTCATTTCCACCTTCAGTCCCTGGACAGGTTGATGTCATAAATAAAATATAATGTATATTGATGCAATCATTCATCCAGTCAATCAATAAGTAAAACTAGTCCCATTCAGTCTCAGTTACCACATCCATACACTATTTACAGTTCTTATTGCTGCATTGATACAGGGCAGATTAATGTGTACAGGTTTGTTTGGTTAAAAGCCATTGTTTCCAGGCGTGCAAACATTTCATAATTTGTACTTAAATTAAATTAATAAATTAAATTTGTACCTAAATAATTTCATGTGGGAGGGTGCTCCAGAGGCTTATGGTCCAGTAGGAGAATGATGATTGACCAAATAGGTTCTACATCTTGAAACACTACACTATACACTACCTGTCTAAATCTAAGTTCATCTAAGTCTAACCCTAGAATACTAATGTGTGAGTCTCCTTGAGTTCAGATGTGTCAGATTATACAGGTGGATTAGCCAATCAGGGACATGCATGGTCTGTCTGTACAGTGTTTCCTGCAGCACTTTGTAGTTAAAGTGGCCAACTTGACAACAAGTGGCCCCCGCCTTGACTACATCCCTCCAAACCACATCTCACATTCTCACAAAACTACAGTCTTTGCACGGAATCTCCGCACACCTCTCTCACACTTTTTTGGCAACACTGCCTTGCCTAACAAATTTTCTGTGGGAAACACTGCTGTACCAAAACAAATATGGCGCTTACTATAGACTATATATATAAATGGAAATAGCTAACCTGCTAGGCTACTAAATTCCAAATAGAAAGTGAGGACGGGTGCATTTCTGGCTCCATCGACTCCAATTTACTTTGCGTTGAAACAACATCCACCCTCTCTATGTAACTGCTACTGTCAGGTTTATCATTTTGATCTTAAAATGCTCGCTTTACATGATCCTACTGTTTTTATTTCACAGATTTGTTCATAAATAAATTCCTATTCCTAATAAGGATCTTTCCTCCAAATTCACCTCTATAACTGCTTGCCCCATGAGCTTAATTTGACTGTAGGTCAACGTTATGTTTGACGTCACACTCTCTTATTCCACTTCTTTAAACAGTTTATGCTTTTTACAAGAAAAAAATTAAGGGGAAAAATATCACAGATCACAAAAGACTGAAAAACATCACAAATTTCTGCAAAATCACTGAGCGAAGCACTAAACTGATAGGTGACCAACAAGCTCTATTGTTTCTCATGCGTCACTGAAATAAACAAATCTGAAACATGTTTGGTTTTGGCTGGAGATGCGACAAAGGGAGTGGGATTCAGACTGATATCCATTTATATAAAAAATACATTTGGGTTTGTGGTGTAAGTGCTGTTGTTCAGAAAAGTGCAGATTATAGCCATGAAAAAGAACACCAAGATATGATTACAAAAAAGTCTTCTCTTAAGTTTGATCTATTTTCAAAATACAAAGTCCTTTATTAGTGGCTTGGCCTTTATTAAATTATATATATGGCTGCTCCGATTTATAGGCAGTGTTGGGGAGTAACAGATTGTACCGGAGTTACGTAATCAGAGTACAAATTATGAGTAACTGTATTCAGTTACAGTTACTGTTTCAGTGAGAGGTAATTGGATTACAGTTACTTTGTTGAAATAAATGGATTATAGTGTGGTGTTTTCCTGTTTTCACATTTTGGGCTATATCCCACCTTTTTTTTTTTCCTTTTGTTTTTCCTTTTTTTTTTCGGTAATTCCACTCATTGCTGGAAACTAAACCAGGTCTAAACCAGGTCTAAACCAGGACTAAAACCAGGATTAAAACCAGGATTAAAACCAGGACTAAAACCAGGACTAAACTAGATCTAAACCCAGACTAAAACAGGTCTAAACCAGGACTTAAACCAGGATTAAACTAGATCTAAACCAGGTCTAAACTAGGTCTAAACCAAGACTAAAACAGGACTAAAACAGGACTAAACCTGGACTAAACCCGGACTAAACCAGGACTAAAACAGGATTTAACAGGACTAAATCATGCTGCGCGGACGTGTCTCCTCGTCTTCTATCAATAATATTTTTAATACGGTTGAGTAAAGTCTGGGCTTTTTATTTTCTTTTATCAGACAAAGCATCTTATATTATGATATCGTAGTCTTTGCTTCTCTACAGCAAATCAAGTAATCCAAAGTATTCAGATTACGTTACTCACTTTAAGTAATTTAATGGATTACATTACAAACTACATTTTGGTGCATGTAATCTGTAATCTGTAGGGGAATACATTTCAAAAGTAACCTTCCCAACACTGTTTATAGGGCATTTCAAATAATATTAATAAATGAATTAAGTAAAATGTATTTAAAATTAAAGGTACATTGTGTAACATTTCTACTAGGGTGGGGGTCTGTCATATGCTCTATGTGTGCATTTAGTTAATTTTGTGTGTTATCATTGCTCAAAAAGCCCTTGACAAAACATACGTACTATAATTTTCAGATTTAATTCATCTTGTCTCCATGGAGATACATAAGTTTAATGCCATTCTGTGGAACATTGCAGACAAAGTAATAACATCTCCAAGCAGTTTGTGTACTCTCCACCAGAGAAGTTATGCTGTGCCGTAACATTTTAATATGTGAGATTCTCAGTCTTGCATTTTATTTGTTCCACTTTTTGTCTGTATACTTAACTCTTACTGTAGCATACACTTACGTACTCGTGTTCTTGCCTTTCTTTTCCCCTCTGTTGCATGGAGTGTTTGTCCGTTGATTCTTGGCCGCAGGATCGGCACTAGCCTCTGCGCTGAAGCTGTAGCCTGATTTAGTAATGCCTTGGAACATTTATCGAGACGTTTGTTTGAATGCCGCCCACTCGCTCCTCTCCCTCTCTCCCTCTCTCTCTCTGCCATGATGGAGCCAGATCTTTCACACGTTCACCCCAGCTACACATTATAGACCAGTGACCGCAGCACTCACACAGCCTATACAGTGTGAACTAGTTACTGGGCTGATTCTTTTGTCGACTCAAGGTTCTGAGTCTTATATGGGCTAAAAATTTTGTATTTCCCAACCTTTTACACCACAGCAGGTATTAGCCATCTTTAACAGGAGTATTCCACATTTAAAAAGCCAGCATGTCACTTTTAGCCAAAAAATACACTAAAATAAAAGCATGGATTTTTCATTTTGGATGTTTTTATTGCACTGAAAAAAATACAAAAACCTTCTTACTGTGAGTGACTTTGCATCTCCATAAGGACGACTCTGACTTGGCCTGGTTGTCTCCATGGAAATGTCATTCCTTTGGCTATAATCTTCTACTGCAGGGGTCCCCAACGCCCGGCCTGAAGACCAGCACCGAGCTGTGGGCCGTTTAGTACCGGGCTGCGAAAGCTTGAACCCCCCCCCCTTCAATGCACCCATATGCCACGTCTCTAAACCACACTCTAAAACCAGGACTAAACCAGAATTAAAACCAGAACTTAACCAGAACTAAAACGAGGTCTAAACCAGGTATAAACCAGGTATAAACCAGGTCTAAAACCAGGTCTAAACCAGGTCCAAAACCAGGACTAAACTAGGACTAAAACAGGATTTAACCAGGACTAAATCAGGTCTTAACCAGGTCTAAACCAGGTCTAAACCAGGTCTAAACCAGGACTAAACCAGGTCTAACCTAGGACTAAACCAGGTCTAAACCAGGTCTAAACCAGGACTAAACCAGGACTAAACCAGGTCTAAAAAAGGTCTAAACCAGGTCTAAACCAGATCTAAACCAGGACTAATCCAGGTTTAAACCAGGTCTAAACCAGGACAAAACCAGGACAAAAACAGGATTTAACCAGGACAAAGCCATGCCGTGTGGACCACACACTGCTCCTCCTCACACTTTGCTTCTTCTATGCGCCCCCCACCCGGTCCGCAAAATATTGTCAGACATAAAACCGCAAAAAAGGTTGGGGACCACTGTTCAACTGTATGTAACTCTCTGTAACTCTCTTATCTCCATGGGGAATGTTCCAGAGTATGGCTTTAACTTTGTATTCATATGGAATCATACAGGTGAAGTGCCATCTCCAGAAAGTTACACAATGTTGGTTTGAATTAGGGTTTTATTATGTTATGGGCCCAGCTAATGTTTGCATCTGGTTTTGTGCATCAAACATTTTTACATTTGTGTGTTTAGAGAAAGTTAACTGCTGTGAGGTTGACATTTCACCATTGATTAAAATGACTGGTAAATTGGTAATTCCTGTCTTGTTGCTTGTCTCAGGGCTCCCTACGGAAAGGCCGTGGACATGTGGTCTGTGGGATGTATCCTGGGAGAACTGAGTGATGGCCAGCCTCTGTTCCCCGGAGAGAGCGAGATCGATCAGGTGTGTGCGACCAAATACTGGTACAATTAAACTAAAGACACACTGTTTAAAGTTCAATACTGTTTAAACTTCAATACTGCTTAAGCTAATTGTCAAGGGAAGTTGTTTTAGTTTGTTAAAGGAGACTCAGGTTAAGTACAAAAAATAAAAAACAATTCTACAACATCGGTTTCAGAGTAATGAGAATCTCGCAACAATTTAAAACTAAATATTATTTCTTCTGAATGGATTAAAAGTCCTCAAACTGAGCCTGAAATCCATGAGTACGTTTATCACAAAGTTTAAAGGCAAGATTATGTGAAAGGAAAGTCTGAACATTTAAAACAACTTCAATTGGTAAATGAAACAAGCACAAAAAAATAGAAAAAATATTGTACACATATCCATGGGTTTCAGAATTATGAAAAATTAGGACAGCTGCCAAAGAACATTAACAATTTAAACCTAAATATTATATCTTTCTTATGTGAAGTCTTCAAAATGTTGCATATAATGAGAAGCTATGAATGAAACCTATGAATACATTTAATTTTTCTGAGTACTAAAGTGAAACAACTGCACAGGTTTCAAACTGCATTACTTTATCCTGTATATATTTCCATCTGACATATTTAGTTTAGTTTATGTTAATTAATCGTATGAGTGACACATTGAATTTCAGGACAAAAACAATTTATTAACTTTTTACTTTACCCTACTTTACTTTTTACTTTACTTTATTATTTTTTTGTTTTCAAAGAATTTCTCAATCTCTATTAATGAACATTGAAACATTTAAAGATCCTATATTATACAAAATTGACTCTCGTGAGGTTTAAGTCATGATATAATGCTTCTACGTCAACAAAAACATACCTGGAGTTGTGTTTGAGTAATCTTTTTATTAGTCTGTCTACATCTTCAAAACTCAAAATAATGCCCTGCTTCACCTTATGATGTCGTCTTGTGGTAGTTTTCAGGTTAACAGCTCCTTTTACCTAGAAAGAGTAGAAAGTAGAGAATATAGGACGTTTAACATTTAAAAAAAAAAAAAAGTCCTTTCATTCCTTTATTTCTGCACATCGCTTATAGAAATCTTGTATCAAATGACTCTATTGAAGCTCGGTCTCTGGTCCATTTGATGTACCATTTTCTGTACATTTATGAGGTCTGCTTTGTGCACTAATTGCGTGTAATTTTGCCAACAGCTCTTCACCATTCAGAAGGTCCTGGGTCCACTTCCTGCAGAACAAATGAAGCTTTTCTACAACAACCCTCGATTCCACGGCATCAGGGTAATTTTATCTCCATTACCTCACTATGAAGGACTCATGATGTCATTGCATTTGAAAGCTCCTATAGAGAGAGGATGAGATGAAGGCCCGCTCTTATCTGCATGAAACAAATTAAAGGGCTCATTTTATGCTATTTTCTGATCTGTTATAATGTTGTTTCCTCATCAAAAACCTGGAATTGTGTTTTGTTTCATTCACTAACCCTACATATTTAGGCTGAGTTCTTCTCTCAAACAGAAAACACTTTGTTCCACCTTATGTCATGTGGTAATAAAGAAAGCAGAGGTCTGCGTGGGACAGAATTTTCAGTCCTGCTCCTGCCCGCACCCTTATTGTGCAGTCCCACTCCTGCCAGTGCCCGCAAAGAATTGTAATTTTCATTCCTGCTCCCGCCAGCATCTGCGATATTTTGCCACGCTCCCACCCATAAATCCCGCAGGATGGGGACGTTCGCTTTCTTAAGATCTATCAAACACGGAGAAGCGTTATGGAATTGTCTAAAATGTGCACAAGATTAGACCACGTCCGCAAATTCAGGTTGCATAAAATGTTTTTATTGATGCCAAATAAAATATCCAGCACAAATTGTGTAGAATAGTCATACATGAATCATTTGTATATTTTACTTTACACTCATGTTTTGCTCCTACATTGTCCAGTCCTGCTCCTGCACATGCCCGCAATGAGCTTTCAAAATGTGTCCCACGCCGCAATCTTTTACATCAAGTCTCTCGTTGGGGGACCCACAGGCCTCCTGCAGGGCTCTAACAGAAAGTGCTTTACTGTGTTTTTAAACTCCATACACCTTCAGTAGAATCATTTGGATGATTTCAACCCTGGAATGGCCAATCTCTACTGAACTAAAGGTAAAAAGTAGATGTTAACTTGAAAACTCTTCATGACATCACAAGGTGGAACAGAGCATTTTGAGCTTTGGAGAGGAACACAGTCTGTTAAAAGAGGATTAGTCAAACTTGTGTGAATGTAACAAAACGCAATCCCGGGTATGTTTTTGATGACAACATTCTAGGAGTCAATTTTGCCTAATACAGGACCTTTAAATGTATAATTTGTTTCCGTAGTTTTTTTTTTTTTTTGTTTTGTTTTTTTGGTTTTTTGACGCTCTCAGTCTCCTGTCCCTTTGCTCCACATGCTAAGTCACCCCCCCTACAGAGTGCTACCACAACAGCTTGACAAGACATAAAAATACTGTAATTAGCTGTAGACAGTGTGCAGCGGTTTATTTAGTCACAAAGTGTTTCTTTTACAATATACTCTCTGGGGAAAAACACAAAATGTTCTATTACTAATTACTAATCAGGTACCCCAGTATTTGTAAAAATAATTTATTGTGATTTCACTGACAAATGATTGCGATTCATGTTTTAATTATAGGATTCTGTTCAAAGTATTGACAAAAAGAGTGAAATATGACCTGGCACACTCATACATGAATCACATTTCAGAACATTTGTACAGATCTAAACTGACAGAATATTATACTGTTTATGGAGGAAATTATGGTTCTTCAAAAACTGCAACCTTTGTGATTTGCTCTTTGCGTTCATTTTAAATTGAGATTTTGATTCAGTAGTGATTAATCTTGCAGCCGTATGCCTCAGAATTGCAACATAGATGTAACATAATAAAATAATTACAGTGAAAATGGCCACTACTATCCATCCCCAGCACTTAGTCCTCCTCTTTCGTCTCCAGTGGCAGCTTTCCCAGTGCCAAATAGCCGGGTATGACTCATGAGAAAGATAGGTGGTTGGTGTTGGGTTTAGCAGCTACAGAAAATACCCAGAAGGCTTAGCGGCGTGGTGCGTGAAAGAATGTTTGAACCAATGAATCTGCTGTGAAATTATCCTAAATTTTTGTGTTTTTTTTTTCTGTTTCTGTATTTCATGCCAGTTTCCTTCAGTAACTCATCCACAGACTTTGGAGAGGAGGTACCAGGGAATCATGAGTGGTCTGATGTTGGATTTGATGAAGGTAAAAGCAACAGACATTACAAATATGCAGTTTATGTGAAATAAGCTTTATAAAATTATTTACAGCAGTGGTTGCAACCATTTTTTTCTCTTTATTTATGTATTTATTTATCTTAGTTTCCTCTTTTGTTGTTTTGCATTACATAATTTAGTCTTGAAGTCAACTGTCCATAATAATTATTAGATCTTTCATTTTAGATTAGTTATAATTACATATGTTTATGTTTATTTGTATGTGTATTTGTTTACAATGTTTTTTACTTCTATGTGCAAAATAAATATAATTTAATCTAAGGATATTTTCACTTTATCTCAGATACAACTGCTCTCTAGAAATTATATGCATCAGCTCATCATGCTAGATCTTATCATTTATGTTTTAAGCCGACTCTTTACCATTATGTGTTGACACCTTCAACATTACCAAATATCACCCAAGACAATATTTGGCTTTCTGGGTACAAACAGATCTAAACTCAGATTATAATCAGGTCTATGTTCAGTTGAAAATGAGTCTAGACCAGGACTAAAGTGAGACTAAATTATGAAGGAAGTATTTCTAAATAATATTATCCCAAAGGAGGACAAAATATAGATAGATTTGTCTCTTAAAAAAATATCCATAATTTCCAGAAGTACCACCAGATGCCGCTAGCTTGATTCCACTTCATGGAAACAATCTGACCTTGCAACATTAGGATTCATTCGCTCGACGTAGGCGGGTACTTTTTTCATTTAACCAACCACTGCTGTTTGGTCGTGACATATGTAATGCACCAAATCCCGTAGGAAGAAGGGCTATAATGTCTTTCCCCTTGATCAAATTCACCAAACATTCTCTATAAATCCTCGATCTCAGGAATTGTTGCCAACACAGAATGTACGGCTTTGTCTACATCCATCTCGACCGCTTTGTTTTGCTGTTGTGCTGAGTTTGACGTCATGGCTTCATAGCTCTTCGCTGATTGGCCGGTGCGCAGTCTACAATGTCCGGTGGGCAAACCGTCTAGTGTATTCTGATTTCTGACCTAGTCTCTGGAGAGAAATGAAATTGAGTGGAGACACGAAGTGGCGTCAGCCTGGCTAAGATGCAGCACCACAGATTGACAAACTCTGTTCTTAGATTTAGATTTATTGAAGATTAACTTGGTACAAAACAGCTTTACATGCTTATCTTGAAATGTGCCAATCATAACATCAGAAACAAGTTCAAACATTGCCAAACTAAGCTAACATTATAAATATACAAAATCTAAACAAGATTCAAGTAAACTGATCCATTCCACTTTATTTGTAGAGCACATTTCTTAAACAGACCGTTTCCAAAGTGCTGCACAAATTCAAAGTAACAACAATAATTATATGATATTAAAAAATAAATGCTCAGATTTAAATAAAACCATAAAATAACAATAAATAAATAAAGTCAATACAACAAGTTTTAAATAAATAAAAGACACAGAGGACTATACACAACTTAAAAAGCCAGAGAATAAAAGTGGGTCTTAAGACTTATTAAACCTCTTTGTGATTGTGTTCTGTCCCTCAGAACCTGCTGCTATTGAACCCAACCGAGCGTTACCTGACAGACCAGAGCCTGAACCACCCTGTGTTCCAGCCTCTGAGGCAGGTGGAGCGAGAGAGACCACCCCCCGCCTCCCCAAACCCCCCACGCTCCTCGAAGAGAAAAACCCACCACCACGGGGAGAACACTGTCCCAACCAGGTCGGACTATCCTCACATCATCTTTGCACTGTTTCCTTATGACCTCCTTTACCTGTACATATACATTTACATAATTATGCCTTATCTGACACCAGTCTCTTGCTATTTTTACTACTTAATTAGAATTCATTATTACCATTTATATTGTTGCACTTTGTTATTATAATATATTGTGATGTTTGAGCTACTATGTACAAGTAATTTCTCAGTAAATTCCCCTTTGGGGCAAGTTTTTCCTGTTAATTACATTGTACTTTGCCATGAAATAGTCAGAAATGTTGAACCTGATTATTTACTTTAGTGATTAGATCAAGAACTCACTTAAAACTACATAAGATACATAAACCTTTATTTGTTCAATAAGTGGGAAATTCTAACGCTACAAACACTATTATGTAAATTGTAGAATGAGTTCCTATGGATGTATTTACAGTGTTGATACTTTGCAGTAACATCGTGCAGAGGTGGGGGGGTCTGCATTTATACATATGCGAAATGTTTAGCAGTTACCATGGTGACACAATGCACACATTCACTTTAACACTGACAAAAAGTTTTTAGATAGTGTGAAAACGCAAGAAAAAATACAAAATGGATTTATACAATACATTTTCAAGAGCTGTGCTCATCAGTCTCTAGGCTGTGGGTATGGTGTGTTACAGAGAGATTTAATATAATGTATTTTCCTTCTGTCTTCCTTGCTAACATAGACCAACATGGCAGGACAGTGTTCAACTCGTCTTTATTCTGCAATTTGTTCACACTCTCTCTCTCTCTCGTGCACAATGCGCTCCACCGAAACAACAATAGAACCAACACTATTCTGCAGAACGCAACATAATATAATAATATGAATTGTTAATAAAAGAAATGCAAACTTAAATTAATTATTCAAAATAATATACAAAATCCAAAAATAAAATAATACGTGTCAAATAAATCAAAGGTTACAATTGTTTGATTTTCAACAATCCAATCGACCTTTATTTGTATAGCACATTTTATAAACAAGACAAGTTTCCAAAGTGCTTCACATAGCAGTGTAAAACGTTTTACTTAAAAAAAAAAAAAAAAAAAATCTGCTGAATTATGTTTCAACCACGAGGAAACTAATAGAATCAATAAATAAAATCAATCAACAAAAATAATCAAATCAATACATAAAAGCAGTACTAAAAAAATAAAAACAAAAAGCTGAGTGTGACTACCTAAAAAACTGTTGGGTAATGCTGCGTAACTAGTTTATGACCGTAATGTTATTAGAGAGTTTAACTGCACAAAATGAGCTACCTGTTGTAGTTTCAATTTAGCTGGGTCAGTTCTTTCAGGTGAAACTGTGAAAAAAAAAAAAAAAAAAAGATCAGCTTAAGGGCTAACTTGAGTACTAGATCTTCAGATGCAGTGCTTCCAGTTCAGATTCATACCCCCAGGGAATGTTCAGGACATCAGAAGCAAAGTATCAATATAGACAAGAATAAACACCAGATAAAAGTCTAATAATACCTTGGATACTGCTTTATATTGCAACGTTCATTCACTCCTAGTTCCTAAATTACACTGTTAAAAAAGCTCCTGCAACCACAAGTCCCCTGGGGTCTCCTGACAGAATCATTTATATATATATATATATATATATATATATATATATATATATATAGATTCTACTGGGCCTGTTCTAGTCCTTATTTTACCTTTTCTCAAAATGGGATAACTTCATTTTAGTTCAGTCCACTCAGCTAAAGGCAAGGCAAGTTTATGTTGTATAGCACCATTTGTACATAAAGTAATTCAAAGTGCTTTACAGAATAAGAAATAGATTAAAATCACAATACAAACAAATCAAAACATAAATAATCATCATAAAATTAAAAAGAGAGAGACACATTTAAGAGAAGGATGTGGAATGAAAAATGAAAACTAAAGCTGAAGGTGCATTGTGTAATTTTTCAGTGAACTGTCCATCACCTGCTTGTCTCTAATGAGATTTTGTTGCTATAATCTGGAAAATTTTTAAATATTGTAACAGATAAGAAGGTGAAAATATGTTTGTGACGGTCTTTTGGATTATGGTAATGTCTTACTCTGGAACATTCCAGTCAAAGCAATACCATGTCGCAATATCGGTCCCCCCACCCAACCAGTAAAGTTACAGTTATAGTGCACTTTTATGTCATAATGCAGACCAGTTCTAGCCCTCAGTTTAGTCCCAGTCCTGATTCATTTGTGTTTTACTATAGTCATTATTTAAAACAAGTGGTACTTCTAAAGCCAAATGTATTCTGCTGTATTTTTATGTCCCATTAGGAGCCACAGTAAGAGCACCTCTCATCGCCGCTCCAACAGCAAAGAGTGTTCCAGCCTGCCTCGTCACGGCGACCTCCATCACCTCGGCAACGACAACTTCCTCAACGGCAACAAGGGGGCGCCGACGAGCCTGAGCCCCACCCTGCACCCCAAAACCCAGTACCTGTCCCAAACTCTGAACCGCACGGCCTCCTCCAGCAAAGACCTGATCAATAACAATATACTGCCACACCTGCTCAGCCCCAAAGACAAGACTAAAGAGTTTGACTTCAACTTGGGACCGTCACCGAAACTCTCCGATCCGGGACATGCAGCGAAGTACGGACACGCGAAAACTGGGTCATCGCGGGTCCAGCAGCAGCAGCCCCAGCCCCAGCCTCAGCAGCAGGCGGGGAGGCACACGTTTCTGGAGGGGAAAACCAACACACTCCAGTCTGCTCCAGATAAACACGGCCGACATGGACACACTCAGAGGTGGGCAGTTAGATACTTGAATAAACTGTAGTAGTAGGAGTAGAAGTAGTAGTAGTAGTAGTAGTAGTAGTAGTAGTAGTAGTAGTAGTAGTAGTAGTAGTAGTAGTAGCGGAGTCCTGCACGGGTCCATTTTTGGAGACCCGCAGCCGCCCGCACTCGCACAGTACAGCACCACACCTGCCGAACCTGTGATTTTATCAAAGTTAAACCCGCACCCTCCTGAACCCATTAACATTCCACCTGTTACCCCCCCATGCCCGTGATAAATCATACACAGATTAAAAGCATTCTAACTGAAGCATCCATCAGAATTTGAATTGAAAAGTTACGACTTACAATCACGAAATGAAACGCCACACACGCCATGGACTGAACCAAGACTAAACCAGGTCTAATCTTGGACTAACCCAGGACTGTTTCCAGGACTGAACCAGGAGGACAAAACCAGGGCTAAATCAGGACTAAACCAGGACTAAACCAGAACTGAACTAGGATTCACTATCGGGACGGCTCGGAGGTGTGACTGCATGGACCATTGGGTGGCTGCAGGCGAAAAGAGCAACGTAGAGCTCCGTGCCCTGTGGAGCTAACTGTCTCCCAATTGCGCTTTGCGGACACTTTGCTCCATGAGCTTGGCATTCTCCCTCTCTCTTAAGTCCAAGATTAATTCTGGTGTAGTCTTGATATAGTCTTGACCTGCCCGTGTGTAATTACTACCCACCCGCATACTCCCATTTCAGCAACTATTTGCCTGTACCCGTCAGGTACCCGCAGGTACTCAACTCGGTGCAGGACTCTGGCTGCTATTAGTCTCCTCATTTTGGTCATAAAATGTTTGTATTAAGGCAACATGGTAATATAAAAGAAAGCACTATTATTTAATGTTGAAAATCACATTTTTTAAAATATTTTTTATATATATGTATATCAATATGAAGTAATTTTCTGGCTCTTTACCCTCTGTGGTCACAGTATGGCAGACTCTGCTCACGGCTCCATGTCGTCCTCCTCCAAAAGCTCCGCCTCCTACCTGAGCCTGTCCAAGAGCCACAGTGCCCTGAGCGATGCCAAGTCTGTGGGTAACCTTAGCGACACACGCCTGCACCCCGATGACCCGAACGCCAACGCACCCGCCGTGGGACCTGGCGCCCGCTTCTTCCCCACCAGCTGTTTGGACCTGAACACTCAGACGGGACCTCAGGGACCGCCCGGGAGCCCCTCCAATCGTCATAGCGACCGCTCCGGCCACAGCCCCGCCTCTCGCAGTGGAGGGAACATGCGCATGGAGAGCAGCACCCTGGACTCCTCCTCAAGACACAAATCCAGACACAAATCACTGGTGCCAGGTGAGGGAGACTAGATACAAATCATATCTATTGAAAAAAAAAATGGATTAGAGGCTTTTTTTTGTACCATGATACAGATAAAATTATATTACTTTTATTACTGTAACTGTATTTGTAGTGTGTTACTCCCAAAACTAAGTGTACCCTTTTAACATAAACCTTGGGGGAAAAAAATGTTTAATCAAAAGATGCAGGCATAAGTTATTTGATAAAGGGACATGCTACTTTAATTTCCCAATGACAAGATAATCATATTCAGAATTGTCTTTTTTGCCTGAGAGGGAAAATTGTCTTTGGCTGGAGTACAAACAGCTGCAGATACAACATAAACATAAAGTCACACATCATGATTACACAACACGGACACTGACAGACACGCTTTATATAACACTACTGCTATTTTAGTTTGTTAATCAGCGTTATGTCTGGCGAGTTTAAAATGGAAAGGGCATTTGGCAAAAGCAGAAATTAGTTCACATCCACACGATTATGTACCATGCACTTCTTGATCTCTTTTCCGTTTGCCTCTTTAGAACCAGGTGCAGAGCTGCTGGACCCTGGAGGACCTGGCATCTCCTCCACCCACACCCTCCCATCACCCCACGAGTCATACCACTATGGTCTGGGCTACACATCACCCTTCTCCTCTCAGCAGCGTCCCCAGAGGCACTCCATGTACGTGCGGAGGGAGCGGCACAGGCCCCATGGCACAGAGGGGGCACCGGCGCCTGGCCTGCCCGTCCCAGGTCAGGCCATCCCCACACGGGCCAGCAGCCTCCAGCTTCTCTCCCCTCAGCTCCAGCATCGCACCACCCTCACGGGGCACTCGGTCAGCTCATCCAGGGAGGACTGTACCGATACTATGACCAAAGTTAGTATCCTTTTCCTCTTAACTGCCCATGGACCGAACAGTCTGTTTTATGTTTTACACTTGTATTTGAGCGTGTACTGTGAGTGTGTGATCAGCGCCACTGTTAAGAGCACCAATAGCACTAAAGCTTATTGAACCAGTGGACCGTTGAGACTTGGCAATGGTGCAAGTTTCAGTACTAATCCTAGGTAGGTTTTTCAGTGCAATAAAAACATCCAAAAGGGAAAAAATACTGATACTGGTATCGAATTCTGCGTTGATCCAGGATCAGATATTGTTTTCATTATATCGATTTAACCGATCCTGGTTGGGGCGTAAAATGGATGTAATGAGAGTTTTTACAGACTGGTGTAGGCCCAGGATGTCTCATAATGTTTGAACTTTAACTCATACAAAGCTTTTGAGCCATAGTTTTGATATCAGAGCTGAAAAAGCTGGATCAGTGCATCCATGGAAAAAAACATGTTCTTAATGTAGTCTATTTTTTGACTCAGTGGGGCTTTAATTAGGTGTATTTTGAAATAAGACTAGTGTGTAAACACGTGCCTGGTTGATATAAAAAATTAAAAAAAAATCAGTATCACTATCCAATGAAGAACAAAAGGGAAGAGACAACAAACTATAGCAATAGTGTATCTGTGTGGTCCAGAAATTCATCTCTAATCTTAAATATGAAACAGTTGACCGTAATACTCTGTCTGATGTATTTGTACACACATTTTGCTGCAGCTAAAGCTTGTGTCTAGTTTCTGTGCGTCATCCTCACACTCGCTGCTGCCCCCTGTCTGCTTTGACCTGCATCTGTGCGCCTCTTTGACAGAGCGAGCAGTCTCCTAAAGACATGAGCCACCCCTGTCCTCCCATCAAAGAGTCTACGCGGGACAACACCGCCGCTTTTCACTCACAGCGAGCTAAAAATGAGGTCCGAACAACAACTGTCATTCAGTCAATATAATCTTGATTCAGATAGGCAGTTTGGATGCAAAGTTTCTTAAGGGTTATTCCCATTTACATTTTAAAGGTCCTATATTACGCAAACTCTGTGACTCTTTTGAGTTTTAAGCAATTTTATAATGTTTTTACCTCTTCAAAAACATACCTGGAGTTGTGTTTAGTTTTATTCACATATATTTGAGTAGTTCTGCTTTATTAGTCTGTCTACAGCTCCAAAGTTCAAAATTCTCTGTTACACTTTGTGATGTCATGAAGTGGTAGTTTTCAACAGCTATGTTTTACCTTTTGTTCAGTAGAGATTGGCAGTTCCAGGGCTGAAATCATACAAATTATTCTAGTGAAGGTGTAGAAGAGTTTAAAAACACAGTGGAGCATCATAACATCACAAGGTGAAACAGAGTTTTCTGTTTGAGAGAAGAATTCAGCCTAAATATGCAGGATTTGTGTTTATTAGAAGCATTTGAATAAAACAATACACAACACCAGATATGTTTTTAATGAGGAAATAGCAGAAAATAGCGTAATATGGGTCCTTTAAGTTCAAGCTTTTCTCTGTAATTATCCATCCAGCAGTTAAAAAAAAACTACAACCAAGAAAACTTATTTATGTTTTGACTCATACATTAATCGTTTATTTAATATGAGCTCATTAAATAAAGCAGAAAAGATAGGAGATGTTTTTGATACAAAGTAGTTCAGAGGTTGTTTAAAATCCAGTGATTATTTTAGTTTATTTTTATAGTATATTATATTATATTATATTTAGTTTAGTTTAGTTTTATTTTACATTTTATTTCCTTTACGATGCAAAAAGGCTCTCTATATATTTTTCTGTTCAAAAGCTTCCTTGCATGTTGTTGCTGATATATATGTGGCACATTGAAGAGCTTAACAATGTCTTATATTGTGCAGGCAGCTCGCTATAACCTAATAATAATCTAACTGTTTTATATCAATATTATTAATTGATTATGTATTGATATGAAGTTTCTCCTCACTTGTTGGGTCCCATAGCAGGTCAGTATGTACCACGACCCTCACGGCGAAGACGGAGTGGCCAAAGAAAATCGAATGATCTTCACTGAGTCCATGCCTCGCAGAGTCGGCAGCTTCTACAGAGGTTTGTAAACTATAAACTAAAACAAAACTCACATTCACATTCATTCACATTATTAAAGGTCCCATATTACACAAATTAATAATTCAGGATTATTCAAGCATGTGAACGAAACAAAACACAACTAGAGGCAAGTTTCAATGGAGGTAACCAAATTATAACATGGCTAAAACCTCACAGGAGTCAAGTTTGCATAATATAGGACCTTAATAATAAGTTTTGTTTATATAGTGGTTGTCTAAACACTCAAATATGCTGAAAATGCTCAAATAATAAAACAAAGCAAGCTAACAGAAAAAGCATTACAGTTATAAAGATGAATCAACCAAATTATAACAGAAAACACTTTATAATAACCACACTTTTAATACCCTTAAGCATGAACAAAGACTTAATTAATAATTATACAAAAGACAAATTAGTAAAGAAGATTCAGGCTTGCCATCCCTACAGCCTACAAAGTTCAGAGAAGAACTCCAAATGCTGTATTAAAGTAACACCACATACAGTAACTTCCTGGTGGCATGTCACTTGTAGGATTCCGTGGAAACATAAAATCTAAAACACAAAACACCTCCAGGCAAAATAAGAGTCGAGTTTGTGGAGATGCAAGCCTACTCACAGTAAGGACATATGGTCATATTTTTATATAGCACTTTTCTAATTTTAAGACACTCAAAGTGCTTTACATCAAGAAACCACTCACCCATTTACGCACACATTCACACATCAGTGCACATAGACACTCGGGGCGAGATGGGTTAAGTGCTTTGCCTAAGGACACAACGACAGCATTCACTCTACCAACTAGGGCTGAAAAATTTTAAGAAAAAAATAATTGCGATTTTTCTGGTGATTTTGATTTCATCCACATTTTTTTCAAATCAACTTTTAGTACTCTTGAACATTTTCAAACATCACAGAAACTTATATCATACCAGAATCCTACGCTGATGAATTTGATGCTGGACCATAAAGCCAGGTTTACGGTCCAGCATCAAATCATCTACCTCACGATGCAGAGAGTCTGCGTTGACGTGAACCCCCTACACACCATCTGCGTCAACCGATGTGCACCTCCGAAATTTTCTAATTACACGCCAAAACGACGTAGACAGCAGGGGGAAGTGGCGCAGACAATAAGGGCTGCGATTGGTCCTCTCTACCACCGCTCTACATACATTTCCTGTATTCCATTCCCTGTACTCCGCTTTCCTTTCTTTCAATATACATTGAGTAAAAATGCGTTTAATGCAGTTTTGCGCACATTTGTTTATGTTTTACAGAAACTAAACTTAAAACCACATGGCTAATTTGCATAAACTATAAGCTCTGAAAAAAACAGCTCGCTGCTTGTACCCTGATGCGTCATCTTCTGTTGGACTAAAGGGCATGACTCAGAGGAATATGAGTGTTCTTTCTGTGACAGAGGATGTGCTGATGATGGTGAGTCTGTTCTGTGCTTCTATCGTGTTGGAGATGGTTCAAACTTTACTCGAACACCAGGTTTCAAAACCTTGCCTCCTTGTGTTGGGGTATTGAATTACTTCATTGTGCATAGACCTCGATGCAGATCCATAAATCCATATATTGGGCTTTAGGAGCACTGCAAAAAAATTTGGCTTTGACACTCCCAAAATTGTGTTGTCTGAAATTGTGATTTTCGATCCAAAATGATAGATCGTTCAGCCTTACTATCAACTGAGCTACTGTCACCTCAACAATAATTTAATTTGAATCTATTTTTTGCCTCAAAGTTACATGGATCACTAATGCCATTGTAGCTTGTGCTGAAATCAGTGGTGAAACTGGGTTGTTTCAAGATTGGCAATTTTGATCCCATTTGAGCTATATTCTTTCAGCTTTTTTTAAATTTGTTTTCAATACCCACTCATTCCCTCTCCTTTGTTTGAAGTGTGCTCTTGGCTCACAGTGGGTCAGACGGATCGCGCGCTCTTGAGTCCACTTAGAAAAATACTAAATAAACTGGCCTTTTGTTACATGATTTGTGCCATAGTGTTCAACAGCTCTGCATGTCATTTGCAGTGTTCTTTGAAAATGTAATGACAGTAATTTCTGAATTTTCTTTTGTTGATTGTAAAAAGAAAATTGCTTCTCTTGTTCACCAACATAAAAGTAGAAGTTAAAGCCACCGATTTATTCACAAATGTTATAATGATAGATTTACAAGAATTCAACCAGTGCATTTTGCTAACAATGAAACAATATTGCTGAACCTTTTTGGTGGGTTAATCCTTATTTGGCTCATGATTTTTTTTCTCATGTAACCCTAAATTGTGTATATAAATGGACATAGCTAACCTGCAATCTACTGCGTTCCATGCTCAGTTCCGGCTCCATCAACCCTGCCTCTAATGCATTGAAAAACTGTCGCCCCTCTTACTGTAACTGCTGCTGTCAGGCTCCTCATTTTGCTATTTTGTCTGTAAATTACTTCCTATTCCTAATCTGGAACTTGGCTCCAAATTTGCTCCATAACTGCAAGCCTCAGTGAGCTTCATTTGACTGGAGCTGGAGCACTTCACACTCTCTTAGTCCACTTCTTTATGCAGTCTGTACATGTAACACTAGACCACCTTGGCAGTTCTTGATCTCGTCTGATTTCGGAAGTAAGGCACGATTGGACCTGGTTAGTACTGGGATGGGAGACCTCTGGGAATACGAGGTGCTGACTTTGAATAATCCGTTCCATTATTCAAATACAAAATTTGTCTTTCCCTAGTACTGATATATTGTAAAAGTAGCTCTTAGGGTCAAAATGAGATTGCTATGAGCTGCCTGCATATAATTATAATGCAGTTTTATCGTCTGCAAACTAGGAAGTAAGGCTGGTGTGCTGTTAGCATACTAGTTGTCATTAATATTACACTGATGGAAGAACTTCACTTTGGCCTCCTAAAGGAGTCGTTAAAAGCTCTTATAAACATTGTGGTGAAAAATTAGGATGCCAGACTGTGTCATGAAATGTGACTAATACTAAATCTTTGGACCTTTGTTAAGCCATAGTATGTCACTTTTTAGTCAAATTAAAGGATATTGTTTCATTTGTTTAAAAAAAACAAAACAAAAAAAACACTGAAAAACATGCGTCCTTACTTTGAGCGGCCTTGGATCTCACCACAGACTGTATAAAGAAGTGGACAAATGGAGCGTGACGTCAACCACAGCGGGTTAATATGAACAATTTAAGACCAAAATGACAAGGTTCAGTGCTGCAGTTACAGAGAGAGAGGTGACCATTTTTTCCACATGCTCACTTCTTATTAGGAACACAGCAGCTCCCAGGTTAGCTAAATCTAATCTCTGATCTCCACAAACTTGACTCTTATTTGGCCTTAATATGGTTTAGATTTTCTGTTTTTCCATGGAATCATGCAAGTGGTGCACCACCTCCAGAAAGTTACATACTGTATCTTTAAAATAAAATAGTTGTGTTTTTAAAAATCAAGTAAAGCACTTTTAAAGGTCCTATATTACACAAAATTAACTCTTGTGAATTTTAAGCCGTGTTTGAAAGTTGTTTCCTCATCAAAAACCTACTTGGATTTGTCTTTTGTTTCATTGACACAGTCCTATATTTTTTGCATGTCTACATCTCCAAAACTCAAATTGCTCTGTTCCACCTTGTGATGTCATGTAGTGGTAGTTTTCAAGTTAACAGCTCCTTTTAACTTATGTTCAGTAGACATTGGTAATTTCAGGGCTGAAATGATACTTGTCCATACTTGGCTCAGTATATTTCCCACAATGCACTTCACATCGCACACCTGCTGTCGTTTCCTCAGTGCCCTCAAAGAATGACCGTGTGCACACGAAGCAAAGTCGCGCGGTCAGACACATACAGCACGCGTGGAAATCAATACACTGAATGATCTAATGGTTTTATTTGTAACTTCCACAATGCAGCGCATTTCTCATAAAACCTATTATACCTACGGAGACTGTTTTTAGCAAACGTGTAGAATATACTTTGTTTCAATGCTTCCATTTCCTCACAATTAATTACTAAATCCATTTCTATTAAATATGAGGAGAAGGCTTTTTAGTAGACCAGACACTTTGAAAAAAGCTGAATAGAGTCTTAATTTGAACAGTGAATGAATTAAATAGCCTAAAGCTGAATATTTTCATTATTCAGCTATATTTTTGTGAGGATCATTTATTTCTTTATTTTAATTTTGTTTAAATTACTTACGAATTGTTAAAATATTATTATTACTCGCTTAAGAATAATAGACCTAATTGTCACATTTTGTAACATTCAGCTACATGGCCCCATTCAGAATGCTATATTTTGAATACTTACTCTTTATTCCTTTTATAAAAAAAAAATAAAAAAAATTTGAATATGTTACCTTCCAATACTGCACCTAATAGACAATGAATGCAAAGTATATTGGGCTTATTTTCTTGCACAAGTTCTTAGTGTAAGAAAGGGAAAGAGTCATAAGCCTTTGACCAGAATAAACAGAACTGATGATAGCTCAAACATTTACAGGGCTGATGGGTAAGGCTAACAAGGATATATAGTTGATAAGAGTAATGCTTTATTTATTAGTGTCAAATTTACTACCATTTATTACAGCGAGCACCCACATGCCCTTTATTTTCTGTGATATCATCGAGTATGCCTGTCCCAGAAGTTGAGAGAGCTGAGTGTGTGCTCGTGAACTCCTCAAGTGTATTCTTTGAGTCTGCACCCACAAGTCTGTACCCGGTAGTACAAGAGTATGGAGTCTGCATATTGAGGATTGAGAAACAGACAGATGCTTTCTGTTTGAGAGAAGCACAGCCTAAACATGAAGGGTTTGTGTGTTAAACATGTGAATGAAACAAAACTCATATGTCTGTGATGAAGAAACAACATTATAACGTAGATCAGAAAATAGTGTAACAAGGGCCCTTTGGTGTGGTCTTTACTTATTTATTTAACCTGCATTTGTTGCTTGTGTCTCCTCAGTGCCCTCACCCAGGCCGGATAACTCGTCTTCGTTCCATGATGGTGGGTCAGCCAAGGGGTCCTGTGGTCCCTGGGATGCCCGGTGTGCCTGGAGTGCCCGGTGCCACTGTGGTGCAGAGTGTGACTGTGGTACCTGGAGTGCCTGGAGTAGGGGTCGTGCCCGGAGACCCCAACCATCCACCCGTCTCCATGGGCAACCACTCCAAGAGACAGACCGCTTTTGAATGGTGAGTGTTCAGCTTTAAAGATCTTATATTATGAATTTACTCTTGTGAGATTTAAGTCATGCTTTATGATGTTGTTATCTCCTCAAAAACATATCTGCTGGAGTTGTTTTTTGTTTTATTCGCACATGTTTGAGTAACTAACCGTTTATTATTAGTCGGTCTACATCTCCAAAGCTCAAAATGCTCTTTTCCACCTTGTAATGTCATGAAGCAGTAGTTTTGAAGTTAACAGCTATATTTAACTTTTTGTTCAGTAGAGATTGGCAATTCCAGTTAAGTATCCACATGATTTTAGTGAAGGTGTATGTAGTGTTTTCTGTTTGAGAGAAGAGCTACAAGAACTGAATATGCATGGGTTTGTGTGTTAAACGTGTGAATGAAACAAAACACAAGTTCAGTTGTGTTTGTGATACAGCAGTATGTAACAGCATTATAACATAGATCAGAATATAATGTAATATGGATCCTTTAAACACAATTATTTTTATTATTTAAGGTCACAAATGAGTATGCTACAGTTAGTGAACTTCAACTCTGTTGAACTTAAGTTCAACAGAGTCTCTAAGTCACAAATTATTAAATCGCAGGTCCTTTTATTAGTAAAATCTTGTAGAATTATATAAGCCTTTTCATTGCAGCTGTCACAACACAGGAAAATGTCACTACACAGGAGTATAATTAAAGCTATTTAAAGCTGAGACATGTGCACTGATAGACTATAGCTGAAAGTAAAGTAAATATACTGTGAATTTATAGAGCTAATGTGTTTTAGGGACAATTTATTTATGTTTAGGATTCTGTGATAAGTTCAGTTTTTAAACATACCGAGAAACAATAACATTTGAGAGACTGAAAGATTGAAATATGAACAAGAATCGTCTTTTCACATAATAAGGCTTTTTGGTTTGCACAGGAAATGATGGTACTTCAACTGGTGATTTGATAATGGCTTTCATTTAAACTGCAGTTTTGCAGCCGTACTCAAATGACAAAATCAGATCTCTCAAATCCATTTGTGGTATACACCGTCTTACATTTAAATGTCTGAAAATTTTAAAACTAAATTTGAAACTGGCCAAGACATAAACAATACAAAGAAGGTAAACAAATCAATTTTGTCATAATTTTGTCTTTTTTTTTTTTTTTTTTTTTTTAAGAATAACAGAATGTCCCTAGAGGGCTACTATATTTGGTCATATTCAATAACAAGGAAGTGATGTGCAAAACTGTACACTGCAATTTTTTTTTCTTTCTTTTTACCTTTATTTAACCAGGAAGTCCCATTGAGATTCAGAAACTCCTTTTAAACAGAGACCTGGTTAAGGGAGCAGCCAACACAAAACTGAATCTTTTATTAGATTAATATTAACAAAAATTTGCTGTCAGGGCTAACAGCTATTCATTGAATTTCAGCTTTTTTTCCCCATTCAAAAATTGTCAATTGCTATGGGAACAGCCAATCATCATTTCTCCTCATTCTGAATCCCATGTATTCACTTCTGCGAGTACTGCTACATCATATTAATGTAGTTTCTGTATTTGTGTTCAGGCCTGGAGCAGAGGTGATGGTCATAAACCCCCCAGAGCCCACCAAAGAGAAGGAAAAACAAGGATTTTTCAGAGCCATCAAGAAGAAAAAGAAGAAAACTCAGATGGTAAGAGCCTGTTCTTTATATAACTCAGATCTCTCTCTCTCACTGTCAGGTTATTTTTAAAAATCTGAAACATTTAAAAAGGTTTCAGCATTTAAGCAGAACATTTTATTTTTTTACACACTTTTAAAGAGAGAGTATGTACCTTTCTGGATGTGGAAAGTCAGCCTTTTGATTCCATGGAAAGAGAAAGTTAAACCATACTCTGGAGCCTTCTCAGTGGAGGTAGATATGTTTTATACTGTGGAATATTATAGCCAAAGGGACAACATTTCCATGGAAACAAGCAGGAGGAGTGTGGAGATGCAAAACCGCTAAAGACACATTTCTTTTTATGTTTTTCAATGCAATATACACATCCATAATGAAAAAACTTACATACTGTAGCTTTAAAGGTTTATTTTACTAAGGTTGACAGTAACTAATTTGATAGAGCGTTACCCAATGACCAAAAGGTTGCAGTTTTATTCGAGATTCCTCCTCTCCATACTGTCTTTTTGTCCTTGGGCAAGACACTTCCCTCTCTTTGCCTCTGGAGTTTGAGTGCTCTGAATGTGTGTGAATGGATGAGTGCGTACGGTGGCCACCTGGCTGTTCCTCTTTTGGTTTCCCTGCACAGCGTTTTTAGACCCCTGTACCTCGTCCTACTTAAATAATGCCCTACTTTTTCACTGGTGCCACAAGAATCGTATAGAGATTTACATAGACTAACATTATTTTTGTACCGCCCTTTTCGTTGTAACGTTAGGGTCTATTGCAATACATCTTGTTTTGTTATATCAAATATCTCCACCGATATTAAAAGTTTTGGTGGAGCTGATATCGGCTATCAGGAGTTTAGCCAATATCCCATTTTGGTCAATAAACTGGTGTAACAAGACGATTTATGACACAATGTTGGTCCAAATCATCTCATAATGTTAAACTTTATATATTTATTTATATTTTTACAATGCTGGATTTTATTTTTTATTTTTTTTTACCTTATGCTGTTTGTGATTAAAGGAGATAAATTCCATATTCAGTCTTTGGTATTGGTTGATATCGAGTATCAGCAGATACTTAAAGCCAAAGTATCATCATGCAGTACTATCCTAAATTCTTTAAAACATATTTTAAACACATGTATTATTATTTATTTATTTTTTATTTATTTATTTTTTTTTTTTTATAAATTGCCACTTGATATGAACATTTCTGTGACTGTGGTCTGTGTTTACGTCTTTAATTATCTATGCAAAAATGTTAACCACCCAGTAAATCATTATTTTATTTTGCCAGATTAGTTGTTCTTCACGCATACTTGATTTTTTAGTACTCTTTCACATATGATGCGGCTTAAGTCATGGTATTTGTCTTTGCCCTTGTACTGCTAACATGCTTATGTACAGGCTCAGATAGACCTGAATAGAGCTATTTACATGAATACATTTTCTGCTCCACAGAACGACATGGAGGACTCCAGGAACCCGAGCATCAAGAAAAGCCTCTTCCCCCTCTTCAGCTCCAAGAACAGCCTGAAGCACAATGTTGCCGTAAAAGTCCTGCCTGTCGTGGGCTCGCCTATGGTACAACAGCAGCCCGCGCCGCCCTATCCCACGTCGCCAGTAATCTACCACACACTAACCAGCATGCATCACAGAGTCTGAATGCAAAAGAAAAAAGAGAATTACAACACTATTAGAATGGGAGCGTCAGTGTTAATGTATTCAAAGGCCCCGCTCTGGCCTCTGAAAGTTTTGAAAAGTGCTTATAAACTCATCTCTGTGAATACAATAATTAGGATGCTCAAACTGCATAAGGTCAGTGAGGAATAACTTTGGGCCACTGCAAACCGTTTAAAATGAACTAGTTTCATTTATCAAGTTTAAAAATCAGGTACAGTGCTTTAAATGCCTTTCATTTTCCATCTAGATTTTCAATTCAAACTAAACTGTTGTTAAAAAAGTCCAAAGAAAGTAAGAAATGATCTGAAATGATGAAGGCTATTTGCTAAAAACATAATGTGAGATTTAAAAAGATTTGAACATCTGCCACCTGGGTGTGCAATGCATTTTATTCATCATAATACAATTATACACAAATTTGTTTTCTTTTTATGAAAGACTGGAAGAGTGTTGTAACTCTCAAGGCTCTGGATTCTCATCGTAATCTTATTTTAAAATCCTTTCTAGCAATGCCAGTCTGTGATTTTAAAATAAGAGCTATGTGACTGACTTTTTTCTTTTTTAATGTCATGATGAACACCTATGCAATGCATGTTCATGGCATGGTTTTCATTATAACATTGTATAACAGCTTCAGATTTTTCCAGTTAAGGTTTTTTTAGTTATGTTTTTAAATTAAACTGGGTGCTCTAATGCCTCTATAATATTAATATAACTAAAAATGTAATTCTAACAGACAAAACAAAGAAGAGTTTGATGGAACAGTGACCATCCCTTCTTATGTTTTTCTTCTCTCTAAGAAATGCATGAAGATCTGACTGAAGTTTAAAGCTGCACTGTTTCTGGTAGATTGTCCATCACCTGCTTGACTCTATGGATGTTAATGCAAGCAAGCAAGTGACCTTCCCCACCAGAAAAGTTGCATAGTGTACCTGAAGCAACAAAAACAATGATAAGTTATGTGTGTGTGTGTGTGTGTTTAGGACAGTTTATGTAAAGTTGTATATTATTTTTGCCCCACAGGTCCCTGGTAACGGACAGGAGCACCTGTCACTACAGAGGAGCTCCAAGTCTTCGTCTCATCACAGCAGCCGCCGGAAAAACCGCGAGCGATCGAGAGACAGAGACAGAGAGAGAGAGCAGAGCCGTGATCGAGACCGGGACAGAGAGAGAGAAAGAGAGAGGGAGAGAGAGAGGGAGAGAGACAGAGGGAGGGAGAGAGAGCGGGACAGAGTGGAGTGGCCCCCAGAGAAACCAGTGGATTCACATTCACAGGTACATGGTCACTCGGCATATCATATTATTTTGTTATAATACATTTGTACAGCTTTTGGAAATCAGTATTTTTAATTGAGCACATACACTCAAAATTACACACTCCTATATTAGACAAATTTGAGTCTTATGAGCTTTGAGCCATGTTATTACCATGTTGTTACCTCCTCAAAAACAGACCTGAAGTTGTGTTTTGTTTAATTCACATGTTTGAGTAACCCTTTATTATTAGTCTGCCTACATCTTCAAAGCTCAAAATGTTCAGTTCCACCTTGTAATGTTATGGACAGTTTTCAACTTCACAGCTACCTTTTAGATTTTGTTCAGTAGAGATTGACAATTCCAGGGCTGAAATTGTCCAAATGATTCTAGTGAAGGTGTATGGAGTTTAAAAACACAGTGGAGCACTTCCTGTTTTACCACATGACATCACAAGGTGAAGTGTTTTCTGTTTTGAGAGAAAAACTAAATATGCAGATTTTGTGTGTTAAAAGTGTGTGAATTAAACAAAAACACAACTCAAGGTATGTTTTTGGTGAGGAAATATTATAACATAGATCAGGAAAAGCTAAATATGGGTCCTTTAAAACCCTGTTTGGATCAAATGCTGTCTGAATCTGTCATCGTGTCTCTATAAGAAGCTTAACTAACCCTGCCTATGTACAAATGTTGTGTGTGAGAGAGAGTGTTGGTGGTCAGAAGGGCCGATGGTGCAGATTGGCAGCCTTCAGTCTGTCTATTCCAGGACAGCTATGTTTAGAAATATCTTCCAGTGCTATCGCTCCCACTACGCACATAAACATGCAGAGTGTAGGGCATCAAGTGCTCCGAGGGGCATCACATTGTGAAACGAGTTAATAATAGTAATGATAATAGAAATATCACAACATCATCAAAAGTCTCACAATAACATCGTGGGCCATCACAATGTATTGAATTACTCTCTTTGGTTGCATTAGTGATAGTGCAACAATAGGTCAGAATAGAGGGAACTACATAGACCATGATCCTTTGCTCCATTTCGTTGCAGACTATATGAAAAAAATAACTATTAAGTTCTTTTAAAAGGCTTATCAAGGCATTTTAAAAGGAAAAAGTAGTATATTCACAATTTTGTTTATCTCTATCTCAATAAATACAGTACATTTGGTTATTGTTACATCCCTATTAATAATATAATTTAATCTAAAATGCACCAGAAAATACATATGAAAATACATGATTGTTTTGTCCAAGCCAGGTAAAAAAAAAATCACGTGATCATTTTCCTCATGTGTGTAAAATCTTTTGGCAATTTATCGTGTGGAATCTGGTGACACAAGATCTTGTTCCATCTTTGCGTATTATACAAGCTCAGTTTAGACAAGATGTTACTGTTCTCATGATTTTTAATGATACTTAAATATGTGCCAAAAACAAATTTTTAAGTACAGTATATTGCTGAAGTAAATATGTTGACCAGACATGTCAAACTCAAATTTGGCCCGTGATATAATTATATTTGACCCGCAAAATCATATCAAATATGTATTAGAGCTGACGCGCCGGCTACAGATAGGCTATAGAGATATTATTTATTTAAAATATTGTTATTATTTTATATTATGCTTGTTCTGAATTCAATGTTTAAGGAAAACTATTATTAAACATTTATTTTAACAAGAAAAAGTTTAACATTACATATCTCGAAAGAAGAGAAAACATGCAGATGTTGCTGAAATTTTTCAATAAATATTTAGTTTGACCCACGACTTAGACTCAGTTTTTAATTTCAGCCCTTTGTGAATTTGAGCTTGACACCCCTGATATAGACGATAAAAAATAATATTGAAACTACCCTATGCCACTGACACAATAAGCAGATTTAAACCACAAAAACTATTCTAAATCTACAATAACAAACCACAGGCTGCAATAAATAAACAGAAGAATGAAAGACTTTAGTAGTAGACTTAGTTTGCATCTGTAATGAGTCATAGAAAAATCTTTAAATCTTGAATCTTATCATCTAGTTAGAAAATAACCACAAATTTCCCAGCAGTGCAAAAAAAAAAATGTACACATTATAAATACTGACCCTAAAAAACTATTGTTCGATATACTGATTATTGTGACACTTCTTCTTTTCTTCTTCCCTCCAGAGCCAACCGCTGAAGTCTCTCCGTCGTCTGCTCCACCTCTCCCCCTCCTCCTCGAACCAGGGACCCCCTCCGCCCCCTCCCCAAGACCTACGCTTCCAAGCCCCCCTGCCCAACCCGCCTCCGCCCTCTTCCAAACCAGGATACCCCGAAGCACGCGCCCACGGGGAGAGCAGGGCACACAGGGGGCGAGCAGCTCCACCCAGCCCAAGAGCCGTAAACCCAGCTACCCTCTGCCGGGACAGATCGAGTCCAGTTGGCACGTATCAGCGCTACAGCGGGCAGAGGGGGCACAGTTTACCCCCGAACAGCTGGGCATCAAACCGGGGCAGAATGGACCCACTTTTACCCGCGCCTCTCGCCCCAGAATGCCCAACCTCAACGACTTAAAGGAAACGGCACTGTAAAACTAATACATGAATAACAAATGTATGACAATACAGTTTACATGAAGCGCTGGGGTAACTTTGTGTCTGTGAAATAGTCAAGTTCAACTCCAGTGAGACCTGCGCCAGTGTCTTTACAGGACCAGACAGTAGAGGGCGCCCTGTTCCATGCGGGTACAGTAGTTACAAGGAGAGAGGAATGGTTGAAGACTCCACTGTGGGGCAGATCTGGTCCAAAAAAAAAACACACTGTACAACTTCCAGTCTTATTTTGTTGAGAGTTACATTTATGAAATTACCAAAACATAGGATATGATGAATGAAAATTAGTTTAAAGGCACACTATGTAACTTTTTCACGGGTCTGGCATCTACTTGTTTCCATAGAGATGCTGTTACTTTGCCTGGAATGTTTTACATTAATTACAAAACACATTTATTCAATTACATGACTTTTTATTGGCCAAAAATAGCTTGAAGTGTCTCCACAGATTGACCTGTAACTTAGACATAGATCAAACTAACTCTGTGTAAATGCCGGGGAAAACAGTAAAATCTCCATGGATATAGCAGGTGCATACACTCCACTATAAAAGTTACACAGTGCAACTTTAAAAATAAAATATCACATTTGAGAAGATGAAAAGATGGTTTCAGTTTCATTGACCATCAGACCTAAACTAAAATAATACTAAAGGTGCACTATGTAACTTCTAAGGTAGAGGGCTGGCTACTTGCTTGTCTCCATGGAGATTTTTTTTGCATGGAATGTTTCACAGTATGGCATTAAACTTTTCTGCCTTGCATGTATTCAATTACAGGTGTTTTAAAGCTCAAAAATACCTTGAAAAACATGGATTCTCACTAGGTGCAGACTTGCTTCTACATAGATTTTACCAGTAACCTTACCATTGTGATAAGTTTATTTCCACACTGTATAACATTCAAGACAAAGCAATTACATCTCCATGGAGACAAGCAAGTAGCAGACCCTCTACCAGAAAAGTTACACACTGCACCTTTAAACAATGGATATTTAAGAAGAAGAATACAGTGTTACATGCAGATCTGTACTGCACCAGAGTGGAGCCAGAATCACATCATTTTTGTCTTTTCATTGATGTTTTTTTTGCAGTGAACAAACTTTCAAATGAGACACTGCCCTCCCGGACTCTCTACCGCCATCTCCTGCTGACTGGACTGTACTACAAGAGACTGCCAATGAACTTTTTCAAACTCTATTTGATAAGAACAAAAAAACTTTATATAAATATTATTTATTGAATATTTATTTGTTTTAAATTAAATTAAATTCAAGGATATAAGCTATAAAGACACAGTATGTAGGATATATGGGAATAAGTAAAAGTAATATAGAATAAATGTGTAATTGCAAGAGCTTTAGTTTCCACTCAAAGAAATAGATAGATATTTATGTGTTGATAAATACAATATGTCTGAAGGAATATTTAACAAGTGAATGTGGTTTGGTTCACTTTAATATGTTGTTCACAAATGTCACTTTATAACAGTTTACTTTTTATTTATTTTCACTAAAACTGGGATGAAATGAAGCGCACTATGTTGACCACCAGATCCTTTTACTTAAATACTGTTTACATTTCAGTGTTTGGCTGTGACCATGGCAACACACTTCAGTGCTTTACGTCTTTAGATTTACCAGGGAACAGTATCACAAAGCTGCTGCCAATGTTAAGGCTCATTTATGCTCATTGGACACACATACAGATACACATAGAGGCTTCTGTGCATTTATACAGAACATCTGAGCAAAGGAATTGTACAAAAGCTGACCACTGGGGGCAGTAGTGAACACAGCTCTAAAGTGGAAGCTAAACTTAAATAAATAAATAAATGAGAGAAGGACCAGCTGCAAAACAAATAATTGCTTCCCTTACCTCATTTTTCTCAACTCGGTTGCTGCGCGTCCAACAAAAGTGGAGCATATTTTTTTTATTTCCTTTGGGATAAATAAAGTATCTATCGATCTAAATGAGCCTTACTTTTTGAATTACAGTAAACTTGACCATTATCGAAAGGCATTTGTTTGTTACTGTTAAGAAAGGTATATTACGGTAGATTCTGATTACATGTCAATTGAAGAAATCATAGTACACTCCAAAATAAATGTTTACCTTATTTTTCCATTATTTTGTATTGATCTAAAGCAATTTACATTTTTAAAAAGTTAAATAGTCATCTTTTTTGTGTGTACAGATCATGACTGTCTAAATGTAGGGGTCAGTAAAGGGACAAACATTTCTGTAACACACTCCGAGGGCTGCTGTTTTGTTTACATATCACATATATTGTACTCTATATGTGCCCAAGTTACTATTTATCATTTTCTGGTTTAAAGCAGCTTTGTGAAACTTTTCCCCAACATCATTGTCAGCTTCAGACTGACATTTCATATAGCCTTAACCGCCTTGTTCATAAAATGACTGGAGCCTATTGAAAGTATATGAGCCTTTTGACCTACTGTAATGTTAAACAAGCACGACTCAGTATTTTAAACATACCTCTCATACTACCTTCATAATGTGTGTTACAGCTTTCCTTTTGGTAACTGTTTTGAGCATAAAATCTCACAGTGTTTAATATATACTCTAATAATTTATCAGGACGTTAAAACACAACCTATTTTTATTCGTCAAAGAAAAGAGGCTGGCCTTGAATCGAACTAAACTAAGCTCTCGTTCAGTGTTGTTAATGTAGGCCATATAGACCCCAGAAAAAATGTTACTGCTATAGTAATAACTAATGTAGACTCAGAATAAAGAATAATCTTGTGAAATATAGATCTTAAGTGAGTGCTCTATTTTAGGAAGAAAGACTTACATGTTTGAAATACCATGAGCCAACCCATCGTGATACTCAAGGCTACATACTGCACTGTGAGATTATAAAACCATTTCGTACAGTTTGGATAAGCACTCCACGGGTTGGCCTAAATACAGTATTGGTACTTTGCTGTAACATCAAGCTGGGGGCGTTCTAAATGTATGTGTATGGTGAAATGTTCAGAAGTTATCATGGTGATGTAACGCTTTGCACACATTAGTGATTAAATACTAAAAATGTCTTAAGAGAATTTGAAAACTCAAGAACATGTTTTCAGGAGCAGGGGCGGTGCTACCATTAGGCAAAAGTAGGCAGCCAACTAGGGCCCCTGAACCTGGAGGGGCCCCCAACCAATTGCCCTCAGTGCCACTAATGATCGAGGCTTCCGAGCAATTTGATTATCTCTCAATATGTCGTTAAATGAGAGTCAAAGCATTCAGTCAAAGCATGTCAAAGCATTCACCCCGTTCACGTTAGAATAGTCAGCTTGACCCTGATTTTAACGTAATCATAGCATAATCATAATCATACGTAATGGATGTAAACAAAAATGTAATTGTACTAGCAAAAAATAAAACTACTTTCAGCTCTGGTTATCTAGTAGGCTACCGAACTAATACGACAAGTTTCTAATCCATCCTAATTCAAATAAAGATGTGTGTACCTCATGAACAATGAGGAAGGACAGACAATACATATTAAAGAAATCAAAAAAAAAAAAAAAAAATGCATTATAGAGAGGGCCCCAAACTCAAGTTCACCTAGGGCCCCCAAATTGCTAACTCCACCACTGTTCCGGTGGCTGTAGTCCAGGGGGTCTCCAACCTTTTTCCTCCGGTGAGCTACTTTTACAAAATGAAAATGCCAAAGAGCTCCTCATTTTAGCTGTCACAAGAAATTGGATAAGATGAGGCACAGCTAGATGTTTATATGTTTACGTGCACAACATTAGTCATCAACATGATACATTTACAATCGTGACAGCCTTTTAATCAGTCCAATTTTAGTTATTCAGCACAACAAGTGTAATTCAGAAATCCTTTGGTGAGCTACTCTGACGGGGGTGGAGAGCTACTGGTATCTCCCAAGCTACAGGTTGGAGACCCCTGCTGTAGTCAATACAAGTGTTCATTGTCCTGTTTAGGTGTTTGATTTTCAACAAAAAAGTGAGTGTGACTAAACTGAAAAACTGTTAATTTTGATAACGCTAGCTTTCTTATGACTGTTATTTGAGAGAGATTTGTTTGACAGTGCAAATCAGCTCATCTGTTGTATTTCAATTTAAACTTAGTTCTTTCTGGTCAGATTGTGTTTCAACAAACCTCAGATTAAAATTGAACAAAACTTCAAACACAGCAGTGCCTCTAGTTACCTTCACACCCCCAGGAAATGTTGATGATGTCAGCTGCAAAGTATCAATACAGGTCTTGCATTGTTTATATGGGCCCAAAAAAAATAGCGGACTGCCACTGGGCTAATTAGAGACCTTTGACTACGCTGTTCCTGAACATGTTGCCAAAAGGAGAACTGCAAAAATATGATTGTTTACATTAAAACTTTTACGTTTACGAGGTTTTTGTAAAGCCATTTTATACATAAACATGTGTTTTTGTGTGTGTGTTTTTACATTGCAGTCATGATCAGGGATGACCTTACTCTACCTTCACGAAAGCATTATGGGTATATTTAGAAAAAATGTTGGACAAAATATTCAAATAATGTGAGATTTGTTGAATTTTAATGTACGTGAGCACTTCCACATGTTACAAGTGTTTCCAGATGAGCCAAATAGTGTGGAATTTCTAGTTTAAGACAGTGATAAATGAACTATGTATGATGTTCCACTATTTTTATTTCTAAATACAAAGTTTAAAAAGATTATCATATAGAATTATAATAGTTTAATTATGTTGTGAAATTACAGTATTAAGTTGTATTTTTGTACCACGTTTGGTCTGCCACAAATAATGCCATCAAAGTACACAGTATATGCTTCTACATAAATACAAGGACATAAATAAGAGGTAAATGATAAAAAACAAATATGGTGTATATATATTTTTTCTAATAATAAGAGTATGACCTATTATTGCCTATGTTATTTTTGCGTTAAAAGTGCACTGTATGTCATTTTTTTGGTTGGGGCGGTCCATCACCTACTTGTTTCTATGGATATGTCATTACTGCACGTGAAATATTCCATAGTATGACATTAACTAGCTCTAACTGAAATTTATTACACTACAGGTTGTCAAAAATACCTTAAAAAAAACACGCATTCTGACTGTGACGGGGTCGCCTCTCCACAGATCTGACCTCTAACTTGGTCAGGTTTGATAAAAAGGTTTTGAAGCATTTGACGGACCTCGCCACCTCCAAAAAAGTTACGCAATGCACCTTTAAAGCACGTACTACCCCCTTAAAGTGCCCTTCAGTGTGTTCTAAACTGTTAACATCTAAAATACCTGATTGTATAAATAAATAATGGTTACTAATGCCTTGCAGACCAGGGGCTTCAAACTTCAACTCATTTTCATGTTTTTTGTTGCTATGGTTTTCATGTTTTGCCATTTATTACAGGGTGTAAATAGAAAAACATTGTATCTACACAGACTTTAAAATTATAGGGTCTCGTAATAAAATCCAACTGGACATTTTTGAACGACTCTTTGTTTCTTGAATTGAAATGTGAAATAAACCAAACACACATTTGTTGGAGACAGGACAGGGTTTTTTTTAGGGTTTTTTACGACAAATGGACATTTTAGATACACAAACATGCACTCCCAAAGCATGATGGGAAAATGAGGGGAAAAATACAGTACTTATAATCATAGTCACCGGGAAATCACGTACATTTTTCTGAATTTGCACTTTATGTGAGTTTATATTTGTAGCAGAAGTAGGAAGCCGTGCGACAAGTATCCATGGGGGATGAAAAATTAGCATAGTTGCCATAGTGATTCGTTTCAAACAAATGATCATATCTTTTGAATAGTCCTCAAAATGGTGCCTATAAACAAGAACCCACGAAAAGGGTCAAATGCAGTTTAGATACTTAGCACTAGTGCTTGTTCTAGTAATGGTTGTGGACTCTGTGAGGATAACTTTGCTTTGAAGAAACACTTGAAACTGTTTTGGCTGTGTTTGCTAATGCGTTCATTGTGTCACCATGGTAACTGATGAAGAAGACCCCCAGCACGATGTCACTGCAAAGTATCAATACAAAACATTTATTAAGGTAAAAGCAAGAAAGCATGACAAAGATATTCTGTATTTTCTCAAAGAGCTTGGTTTAAACCCTCTTAGAAAAGCTCTTTGTTTTGAAATTATTGCTTTGAATTCATTTTGTTGCAAATTACCCGGTGTATTCAGTTTGTCACTATTCAGATCAAACAAACCAAATGAAAGCAAAGACGAATGTAAAACAGAAGTGTGTGTTGGGCGGCAGTTTGGACACATGTAAAATTCATGAAGATCAACAATGAGCTCCTGGACAATGGAGAGAGTGAGAGGTTCAGGAGCATTTGCTCATGCACAGGAGCAGCTCCAGACGAAGGGCAATGCGAGTGTGCCAGCCCAGGGGCAGGATGCGGATGTAGCGCGCCACGATGGGCGGGCGCAGCAGGTTCTGGACTGAAGCCGAGCGGTCGGAGTTTCCATAGAAAACCTGAGGAGAGAGAAAAGATATGAAGTGAAAATATATAAAATAATACAGAGACTATTGTACTGCTGGGTTTAAAATGACATCACAAAATAAAAAGCTCGTAGTGTTTAAAAGGGGCATAAGTGGAAATTTTGGTTTATGGTAGTGAGATAATGGGCCAGAACATTACACATTTTTTTGCTTTCACAATTTCTAGAATTTTATATTTTAATTTAAATATAATTTTATATATGATTCAAGGGTATTTCTTTTAAAAATACATAACAATAAACAGAGAATACTGCATCCTGCCCCTCATCTAGAGTTCAGAAAAAGAAACAATATTATGGTAACCAACTAATTATTTTCTTATACTTTTTTCCCAAATTATATTTTCAGTAAAACAGTGGTGATTCTATTTTATATGGTTAGAGGGTTAGATAAAGTAGCAATAACTGCAAATGTTCCACAGCATGACATTAAACATATCTATATCCATGGAAACAAGCAGGTGATTCCAATAAGCCAAGTTACAGGTCAGATCTGTCGTGAGGCAAGCCCATTCACAGTTTGAGTAATAAACTGTGAATAAATGCTCCTTGATTAACTGCAAGAGAGATATGTTTATTGCAAAACTGTGAAATATTCTGTGCTGAGTAATTCCCATGGGAACAAGCACAGTCAGGAAAGTTATATGGTGTTTAAGAATTACAAAATACTGGCCAATTTTAGCACAAGCAAAGCATAAAATTCTGTAATGGATCATGGAGACTTTTCACATTTGCACATCATATCAAATACTGATTGACTGACCCTGTTGTTGCCGGTCTGGTCCTTGTAGTAGATCCAGTTGAGTTTCTCGTCGGAGCGATACTGGACGCTGTATTTAGTGACCCACTCGTCCGCGTCACACCTGCCCTGGGTCAGAATACCAGAGACCACCTTCACCTCCCTCAGGTCGATCTGCAGCCATTGGTTATTGTCCTGGTACTTGGACAGCCATGCACAGCTGGGACAGAACACAAAACACTGTCATTGTACACGACATTGTACAATTGTGTACGATAGTTCTAATTTAGATCTAGTTTATCACTGGTTTAAAGTGGAACTAAACACTAAACAAGTCAACTTTTTTGCTACTAAACTGTGTATATGGTGTTTGAATAGCATTGTCTACAGTTCCTAGTGTTTTTTTAGTTATAGTTATAGTGCAAACTAGGTAAATTTGCAGGTTTCTGGTCAAAAATGTGTATACAGTATGTTCTGGCTCTAGTGCCCACTACAATTTCAAGTATTTGTTATTATTTGTTGATATCAAGTGCCTCTGCCCTGATTACAGACAAACAGGGACAGAGTTTGAAGGGTGGCTATCTGGAGTGGATACCGCCACCTGCCTCACACCCACACACACACACACACACTCTTTTCTTTAGTTGGCAAACATTGTCTAGCTCAGGGATCTCCAACCTGTTGCTTGGAGGCTACCAGCAACTCTCCACCTCCTTCCAAATAGCTCGCCAAGGGATTTCTGAATTACACGTATTGTGCTTAACGACTGAAACTTGACGAATTAAATGTCTTTTACCATTGTACATGTATCATTTTGATGTCTATCTTTGTGCACTAATAAATGGATAAAGGTTTATGTTTTATCAGCATCTCATCTAAGGCTTGCCATGGCTTTTATATATTGTCAATTTCTTATGACCACTAAAACTAGTATCTCTCTCTGGTATTTTCGTTTTGTAAAAGTAGCTCATCGGAGGAAAAAGGTTAGAGATCCCTGGTTGTGGCTGAGTTTATGTGTTTAGTACCACTTTAAACCAGTTTAGATTTGGTGTTACTTGGAAGGCCAAACATATTCTTGCAGGTGGTTCATGGTGTGAAACTTTTAAGAACCATTGCTCTAGTGATACAAATGCTGTATTTCAAATATCCAGCTTTTGTTCAGGGGTCACTACAGCAATTATCTCCCGCATGAACTGACTTGGAGCATTAAATTCAATTAGTTTATTTTATTATACAATATACAGTAACACATTAAACAGCCCTGTTCAGTAAATGGGACACCCTGAAGCAGTCCTTATCTTATATTGCAGTAGAATTTGGTTGTTTGTGACATACCCAAATCCCTGGCTGTTAAGGCGAGCCTTGTTGGGGAGCCATGAGGAGAACCAGCCGGTGTACTGCTCCTGGTTTGAACATGAGATCTGCTCGGCACTCACTGATCCAGCTTCCAACCCCAGCGGCCTGTGGTACGGACACTCTAAACACAGAAAATCAACACACTCAAATGAAAACCCAAACCATCTCACCATCTAATCCTCTTTTTAATATTTCCTCTTCCTCTTAAAGCCTCTCGTAGTGGCCTAAATCAATGAGGTTCAATGAGGCAGGCACAGCACAGATGGTCATGTACTAGTCCAAACAGCTTAAGCTCTGATTTTTCCATGTCTTTTTCATAATTCTCCATTGGAAATCACAGAGGGTTTTGTGGCAACGTAATGACCCTCTCTACAATTATTTAATCATATATAAAGGACACGTAACACAAATAATGTAATATCTTACTTAAGTGTCCCACTCCAATCCTCTCATATTCTAGGACATTGAGTTGCTGTTTTGAATTTAATGTGGTCTATAAATAAAAATGGCTTGCCTGGAAAATTTTGGTAATAACTAGTAAGGTAGTACAAGAATCACATGAATAATGCCATCACCTTTTGAAAATTGGAAAATGTGGTTTAACTTTGTGCCAGTTTTTGTTTCATGTGGAGAGGCCCAGTAATTTCAGAGATATTAACCATAAACAAACAAAAAAATATATTATTTTGACAGTTATAAGGCAAATTCTACCAAAATATTCTGATCTAAACTACTCTTTCCTTCTCACAACTTTAAAGAAAGAAGTTACTGCTTTATAAAAAAAAATAAAGCATATAAAAGTTAAAGGTGCATTGTATAACTTTTCTTGTGGAGGGTCCGTCAAATGCTTTTCTCCATGGACATTTATTAAATTACAGGTAGTTTTATAGCTCAAAAATACCTAGAAAAACACATTCTGACTGAGAGCGTGGTTGTCTCTCGACAGATCTGACCTGTAAATTAGTCTGGTTGGTCCATGAAGATAGAAAGTTTTAATAATATACTGTGAAACATTTCAGACAAAGCAATAACATCTCCACAGAGAAAAGCATTCGACGCACTCTCCACCAGAAAACATACACAAAGCACCTTTAAAATACACTTAGCAAACTGGTTTCAATAGATGTTTTCCAGATAATTGAAATGTCTGTAATTATCCAGCCAGTATCGTGTATTTCTGTTGTAATTCAGAAGCAGTGCATTGAAACTGCTCTTTTGTTTACTACTGGTGTAATCCTCTCTGGCTCTAGGTCAGCTCCTCTAATCCGGAGTTACTCATGTGTGTGAGTCAGATAAGGATTGAGGCTACAACAGGGTCCCAGCGCTCGGAGAAACCAGATGTACTTCTGGAGAGCATTTTATAAGTGAAAGGGCCCATATTACACAATTTTTTTATCTATGTTATAATGTTGGATATCCTGCATATTTAGACTGAGTTGTTCCACCTTGTGACATCATGTGGTAATACAGGATGTATTCCGCTGTGCTTTTTAACTCCACACACCTTCACTAGAATCATTTTGATGATTTCAGACGTGGAATTGCAGATCTCTACTGAAAAGTAAAGGCTGTTAACTTGAAAACTACCACTTCAGGGCATCACAAGTTGGAAGTTAGAGTACAAAGTGTGAAACAAAACATGACTCTGGGTATGTTTTAGAAGCCGGAAGCTCAGAGGGGACAGGCCTTTTCTGTAACTATTTATAAATCAACGCAGTTGATCACTTTGCCCTTTCACACAGTTTGAGATATTGAGATTTTATAAGATTCTGTTTTTATTAGATTCTGTTTTTATTCATGTTCTTTTATTGTTTCTATTGTTTTTCTCTATGTTCTGTAGCAGTGTGGTCACCCTGTGTTGTTTTTTAAAGTGTGTTATAAATAAAGTTGCAGGTGCAGTACTCCAAACAACTGCAACTCACCCTTATGTAACAGATAATGCCTCATTTTTTGCTGTTTCTCATTACCTTCCTCTTGTATATAGCCAAGATATATTTACTGTATTTCTCAATGTTTATTTTCTAGTACATACGCAATAATTATGCCTTATTTGACACCAACCTCTTGCTATTTTTGCTACTTAGTTTGGATTATTACCATTGATATTTCCTCTCTTTGTTATTATATTTTACTGTGATCTGTGAGCTACTGTGTCCACATAATTTCCCTTGTGGATCAATAAAGTTTGTCTAAATCTAAGATTAACATTACACAGAATAACGGACAGCAATCAAACACATAGATTCCCATGGGTTTTGCATTTTCTCCCTGTGCCAAAAATCCTAATCACGGTTATTTGGTACATAGCTGAAAACACATTTTTGAAATTTAATAGAGTAGGGCTGTAGTTGTTAAGATGATTTATCGATCAATGGCGTCTTACTCAACCAAAATGTGTATAAATCAACTAATACTATTATTTAGATTAGACAGATTAGAAGGTATTTATATAAGAAAAGGCAGGTTTAAATAATAATGGTTAGTAAGTTTCGTTTACATTGCTGCCTAGTACTTAAATTATTATTATTTTTTTGTTGTTGTTGCATGATCCCCCAAGAACTGGAGAGTGCAGTTTGGGTCAGATACAGAGCTGTAAATAAATAATAATAAATGTGAGAATTCGTTAGTCCACAAAGAGAGAAATAATTGCAATAACAAACCGACTCAAACAGTGCATGATTTTTTATTCTGTGTTAGTTATTTTAAGTTCATGCTTTGCTTTTGCCAGTTTCTGTATTTATGTTGAAATGATATTAAACTCATGGAGGACTTCATGACTTCTGTTGGCCCTCTTCTGAAGTTCACGTTGTATAAATTACCGTTTTTCCATCTTCTTCAGTCAAAGCAGCAGCTCAGAACTGTGATTATCTGTCAGTTGTAGACGAGGATTTGAAAACCCCTGGGCCTCCTGTGGTCCTCCATTCTGACACACTGCTCATCTTTACAATGACTGGAAACCTACACTGTACTGTATTATCTGAGTGATGAGTAATTCAGTTATTTTCAAACTACCGGGAAAATATGTTTCTCTCTTTCTCTGAACATCCAAATAAGATTGTCTTTTAAATACAATATATAGTCCTACTGGAGCTTGTGATGTGAATTATTTTATGAGGTGGCTTTACCTAGAATGTTCCACTGTACAGATTAAACTTGTTCATCACAAGGGAGACAAGCAAGCAACAGCCCTGTGCTACATTACAGGTCAGATCTATGGAAAGTCGCCCTATTCACAGAAGGAATTATTGTATTTTTGAGCCACAGAAAGACCCGTAAGGAATAAATGCTATGGATATGTTTAACGGCTGCATTTGTGGATATGCAGTGCCTTCAGTAACCTTTTGTAAGCACTTGTTTCTAATTGTTGCAAATTTTTTGCTATCGTCAAATAAGTAATCTCAACTAGTTTACCATCTACTTGAAGGCAAAAGCACACACAAAACTTTTTTTTAATATACATCTATATAAATTCAGGCGTTAAGAGGTTAAAGTCATACCATGGAACACCTCAGGCAAAGCAATAACATGGAGTTGCGTTTGCGTAGTGCACCTTTAATGAATGAATATAAGTGTGAATGGTGGTTTATAGCACTGTCTAAATGCTGAGGTGTATCCTACCAAAGGCCCAGAGTGGCACAGAGTCGAAATTATGCCATAACTGAAATTACAGCTTTATACATTATTATATGATTTATAACCTAGATGTCCACTGTTTAAAGCTCAGTTATATTTTTGTTGCAGTAATCCAGTATCCACATTACATACAAAAGACTACATACAAATAAATGTAAACAAAACTGTAATTTCTTAAGATTTTCTGATCCAAAGGTTTTATTGGACATGACAGTATATGAGAAAATGTAATTTATTTTACGTGCGCAGTGACAGGTAGGCAAAAAGTCAGTCGGGCTGCTTGTTTATGTTGACAGTTGCATTGTGTATGTCTGTAATGAAGTAGGTTTTGCATTTAATTGTTTTAACATGACTTCATCATCTTACTCTAAGTCACTGAATGTTGAGGATCAAAAACTTTACTTTGAAAAGTTAAAACTCGCCGATAACCGTTGACGATGTTGATGTTCATGTCATGTTTTCTCGTATGAAACTAGTTTTATTCACTGATGTTAAGAGTGGGGTGACCAATTTTATACTCACCAATAGTAGAAAGGGGAATATGTTGTGAAGTGTTTTTGTCTAAATACAGAAAACAGTGCTTTAAAATTGCTGGAAATATACTGATTCACAAGTGCATGGAGAATGGACGGTGTGTCTAGTCTAGCTTTTAACTCAAGTTGATTTTCTATAGTTTTATATTTATGTTTTAAAAATTATTTTATTGTGTTGTGTTTTTATCATATTTTTTATTGTATATTCTCATATTTCATCTATACTGTTGCACACTTTCTGTCAGTACTGTCTGTTTTTAAATGTGCTATAAAGATCAACCTTGACCTTGACTTTGACCTAATAATATTTTTAATTACATGCTTTTTTTCCCCTCACAATCTTATTATCATCAAACACCACAACCCGTGTGTGTCCCATTTTTAAATTTTGAAAATCCAGTCATCCTAGTGAAGAGATTTAGAATTTTTTGTCCCTTTTAAATTATAGGAGGAGAAAGTGAAGGTCAAGTCCATTCCAATTTGTACCTGGATCAATCCTGAGTCTTAGTCTTTTTGTTTGTTTATATTTGTTTGTTTCTTTGTTTCTTTTTTTTAGATAATGTTTGTATTTTTTATTGTAAAATCCTTGTTTGTGTCCTTGAACTGTGCTGGCCATCTGGGTCACCGTCTGAGAGATTTTCACTGGAGCGTGCTCTGTCCTGTCTGCGCTGCCAACACCACACTCATGCAGTTCTGCCATTTGGTTTGGTCTTACATCAAAAAATAATCTGCTAACATTTTAATTAATCCAAATTTCGCTCAGTAAAAGCATGTGTTCCTTGAATAAGGTTGCACAAGGTCAAAATATATAGACTATAATAAACAACTATGGTATGAGCTATTTTGAAGCACAGACACCAAAATATTTCTTTTACCTTACTTTTTATGCAACAGCTAGACTTATACATTGACTTAGACAAACGTTATTGATCCACTAGGGAAATTATTTGGATACAGTAGCTCACAAATAACAATATAATATAAAAACAAAAAGCAAAAATATAAATGATTATAATAAATTCAAGCAAAATAGTAAGAAACTGTGGTCAAATAAGGCATAATTATATAAATGTATCAGTAAAAATATAGAAATTACTATGTACAATGTACAATGCATGTACAATTATAAATATCATTATATATATATATATATATATATATATATATATATATATATATATATATATATATATATATATATATATATATATATATATATATATATATTGCAGTCTATGTCTATGTGAGAAACAATTCCTTCATTCATTTCAGATACAAGTACCTCCGCAGGCTGTTACTGTGTTTGTATTCAGTTTTTACTTGACTTACTTTCATTTTTATATACAAAAAAAAACATGTTAAGCTATAATGATCTTGTACAATTTAAGTTGTAGCTCAATACAAATGTAAAAAGTATCTATAATTTTAAACCTATGATAACCTTGCAGTATATTGCTCTTGTCTATGATTACAAGAGGACGGGCTGCTAACTTAAACATCTATGTTTTGTTTAATTATTTTGTGTCTTCTTTTTACTTGGATGTGGTATTCACAATTATAAACTCACCTGCATAAATACTATTATAAAATCATTCTGCATTGTGTTCTTAGAGCAAACAGCCCGTTCCTTTTGTCCTTCCCTTGTCACGTTGACCTTCGTTGATAGATGATATAATTAGTACCTGGCATGCAGTCCAGCCCTCGCACCATCGCCGAGCTAAAGGAGGAACCATCAGTGGGACCCTCTCCATCACAGTCACATTTACAGGATCGGCTGGTCCAAGACTCAGACAGGCCTGTCTACAACAACAAAGGACAAAAATGACAATATCCATCAAGGTAGCTGTTCTGTATTTGAAACAGTACATTCATGTTATTGTATTATTTTAGTTTGTGTGTTACTAATAATAGTTTTTTGTCCATTCAATCATTCATTTTCCTCTCATTTTTGGTCATTGTAAAGCTATATATGAAAGCACTGAAGATTTATTGTAATGAAATCAAAATCACAATTCTATTGTTTGAAATGACCAAATCTCAAACACTGAAATTATTTAGGTAAAATATTGTCCTGTTTATGTGTGAAACTGCTATCCCCTGTATCTAAGATCTCTACAAACCAGTTCAGAAAGGCGTGTGTTATTTAAATTTTCTTGGAAATGTGGATGTTTTAACCCAGAAAATGAAATTGATCTAGATCTTGATTTTAAAAATGAATACGTAATCACAATCCTTGTATTTGTCATCGATAATTTCAATAGGATATTTCATTCTTTTTATAGGCAGTCTAAGAGTAGATACAAAATAATCGTACAAACTGAACAAAGCTAATGTCCTGCACATCGTTACTATCTATTTACAATTAAAACTCAACATATTTTAAATTAAATGAAGGCTTTTATCATTATGAAACAAGTCTTTATGTTAATTGAAATCGTGCTGTCCATACCTCTTGAGCTTGGATGTTGACCACTGTCCAGATTGTATTCAGTTAGTGAGAAAAAAAACAACAACAAAGAGACAATGCATGTTAGAACAACCTAAAATCAGTAGAAAAATGATGTGTATATTATGTGTTTCAATGTAAATAGGATCTTAAATCTTACCATTTACAGAGAGTAGAATCACCAAGAGAAGATGCTGCAGATGGAGAGCCATCTTGAAAACCAAACCAGAAGCAAACCAGCCTAGAGGAACTGAGAGGAACCAACCAAGGCAGCCGTGATAGAGGGACTGGATTAGAATAATCCATAGGACGCTAATGGTTTTACCTAATGCTAGCCTTATCTAGCAAAGCCCCTCCTACAGCTGTTCCTCTACCAACCACTACCACGCAATGCCAGGCTTCAAAAAGGCTCCAAGAAATATATGATCAAGGGCAGAGGCTAAATACTGTACTTATGAAGGGAATATATAGAGAATCCTTAGTATGGAGGTCTGCACATCTCAAGGGTTTAAGGTAGAAGATAAAACGTATGACCTTTTAATGCTACTTTAATTATCATATTTAATGCACAATATGATTTGAATTACTGATATATAGGCTTGCCTGTAAATGAGCATGGGTCTCATCATCAAAAACATAAAGCAGCTCCTTGTGATGTCATGATTAAATGGTAATTCAGGAAATGCTCCTCTGTGCTCATCCATACTGGCTTTTAAAAAACCAAGCACTGCACCAATTTATTTTATTATTTTATAACTGGCAAAAGACACACAGATCATCACTCCAGTACTGCAGCCCCTACACTGGCTCAGTTTAGAGCTCAGTTCAATATATTTTTGTTTGTCTTTGAAGCGTTAAATGTCCTGTCACCTGTGTATTTGTCTGAGCTGCGTCTGTGTACGATCCTGTCAGGTCCTGTGACCAGTTGTTTTTAAACTGTCCACGCTCCAGACTGACTACACACAGCTGATGTATCATATCCATAACCAGACACGAATGAACTCAGAGGTCAGCAATTTTGCCATTTCTTTAACATATTTGTACAGAGGCAGCCCCGCTCAGTAATGCACATTTTTCAAGGTATTTTTGAGTAATATTCACAACTGTAATGAAATAAATGCTACAGGTTTGAATCTAAGACCAGGGGGACAGGCCATTTGCGGTCACTGGTCTCAAACTATAGAATAGCCTCACTTTGAGCATTTGATCTGCCTCAAACATTGAAAATTTTAAGTCTTTACTGTGCTTACCTTTCTGAGACTGTTGTATTTATTGCATTTCATTACTGTTATTTTGCTTTTTAGTCATTTTAAATTTGTACAGCACTTGGGGTAGTTTGTATTTTAACAAAAACAACAAAATTCTCACCACCATTTCAAAAAAAAAAAAAAATTCACATGATAAATATTGAGGCCCAAAACATATTTATCATGACCAGCCAAACCTAGTAAAATTTTTAGCTTCTTATCATTAGACTAATAAAAAGAGTTAGCAACAACTTAATTTTGGCAAGATTATCAGTGCTGACCTTGAAGGATACAATAAAAACTAATTATACAGTCGCATTTGTTGCAGTAAACATACTGTTTTGTCAGATGCCTTCTTTTAATATTATAATTTGATCTTTTATTTCAAACTTGGTGACTTCAGAGCACAGAGGCACAGGCAGAGCAATAAAATCAAGTAACAAAACAAAATGAACAAAAGCAATCGTTTTGACCAATCTCAAATAGTTTCTGTATCTTCTGAGGAAAATATTCTTGCCCAGAGAAGACTTTTGTGTTCACTGTGAACAAAGCAGGTCCTTGAGGGTGAAAGCAATTAATCCTAACTAGACAAAGCTGAGGCCAATTTGTGCCCATTAAAACCCGCTTTAGTCCCTCTTGGTCTCGGTCTGGTGTCTCCTGTGACTGTGTGAGGATTGCACTGAAACATTTTAGTACATTACTGAAAATGAAGGCTCCAGTTCGAGTATCTCGCAGAGGTCAACAGCTGCAGAGTAAGAAAAGAGGACAGAACTTCGCTGCCTTCATGTTTAAAGCTCATAAAGAGGTTAGAAATATGAGAAAAGGCTTTTACAAATTGGCCTTGCAGATTCTTTTTTTCTCACTGTGAAAACCATAAGGGTGCACTGTGTAACTTTTCTGGTGGAGGGTCTGTCAAACACTTTTCTCCATGGAGATGTTATTGCTTTGTCTGGAATGTTTTAAACATCACAAACATCAGATCTGTAAAGAGGCAACCCCGCTCAGTCAGAATGCTTGTTTTTCTAGGTATATTTGAGCTATTAAAACCACCTTTTTGTTGAATAAATGGTAAGGTAGAACGGTTTAATGTCATACTTTGGGACAATCTAGGCAGGGCAATGACATATCCATAGAAACAAGCAGGTGATGAACCCTCAACCAGAAGTGTTACACAATGCACCTTTCATTTGAGGCTGGTAAGTGTAATTTTGCAGCTTGATAAATTACAAATGGCTGACATTCATTGGACATCTATTGGAAATCTAAATTTACCTTAAAACTCCTTCTAATTGACACGTTAAAGCTTTTATTCCTCTTGGGCCAGTCCATTATTCTGGACGAAGGAAGAAATATTTTTAGACTTGGTCAGCTGATCTAGAGGAAATTAAGCCATTTGGAAGCCACTGAGACACAAGTCAAAAGAGTGGAGGAGGTTTAAGGGCCCAGAACACACCAGCTAATATTCATAACACCTTTCTAATAACTAACTAAATCATCTTTGTGGATCGGGGTTTGACCTAAGCACTAATGAGTCTGGGTGATATTGAGTCTTATCTTTAAAACTTTAATTAAACTTTTGCATTTACCCAAGTACAGGTGTTGTGTTTTTGTTACTATTTTTATTTATTTATTCCCCCCCCTCCAATACAAATGTGCTTGTCTTGTGAACGGGGTTGCCTCTCCACAGATCTGACTCAATGGGTGTGTCATGTCACTTGCTTGTCTCCATGGAGTTTAATGGCACAGCAATAACTTCTACATGGAGTTGAGCAGGTTTTTGCCTTCCAGAAAAGTCACAAAGGGAATGAGATGCATTATTGATACTGAGGAAAATTCAATGCACCTTTTCTAACACAATTTAATGATTTGTTTGGCCTTGGATTTCAGATCTAACACCTAATTTCTTCCACAGGTGGGTGCAGGCGGTACAAGAACTTCAGATTTCTTTCAGAGGAGGTCCCGGGGGGGTGTACCCAGACCCGTCCTGCTCCGTCTGATCAGCTCTGAGGCGTCAAGACTGTCCAAAAACAACCGACTCAAAGTGGTCACGCTGCACGAAGTCCGGGAGGCGATCAAACTCATGAGACACAGGACCAGAGCCAGACCTGCTGCCTGAAATATGGACACAAAACATTTTAAACAATATATTTTTAAACATTTTCATTTAATAAACCTTTCAGTGATTGTAAATATTAGTCTTGTTCTCTGTAGATGATCATGGGGAAATTTGTGGTCCACAGTGGACAGTTGGGTGTGTTTGGTGTCATCTAGTGGTGTTAAAGAATATTGCAATTTCAACACTGCAACTTTTTTGTTTTTTGTATAGCATTTTAAAAGGAAACTGGACCAAGGAAGAACCCATATAGCATAGCCTTTTTGACAAAAGAATTCAGTGTTGCTGCTTTAACTCATTTAATAGGCTATAGGAATAAATGTGCTCATAAATAAAATTACTGCATGCTCAAAATACACAAAATATTCAAGGGCCCATATTACTCAGTTTTCTGATCTGTTATGTTTCCTCTTCAAAAGCATACCTGAAGTTGTTTTGTTTCATTCACACGTTTAACACACAAATTCCGCATATTTAGTCTCAAACAAAAAACACTCCACCTTGTGATGTCATGTGGTAATACAGGAAGTGCTCCACTGTGTTTTTAAACTCCACAAACATTCACTAGAAACATTTTGATCATTACAACCATGGAAATGTCAATATCTATGTGCTACTAGTGGTAACTCTGTTGTTCCTATGTGCAGGACAACTCTTGGTCAGTCGTGTTTTTCTGCTAAATTGGAACTGTTTACTAGCTGATTTAAAATTTTAAACCAATAACAAATTTTTTTTAAAGTAATCAAAAATGCATCATTGAAGATCTACTGTATATGTTATTGGGTTATTTTTTCATACCTGACAAAAGATCTGAAAAAAGAACCTAATAACAAAAAATATCAGAAGACCAAATGCACCTATTGGACGATGTACTGTATATATTTTATCTGTATGTAACTTATGTGTCGTGTTGTGTCTTGTCTGTTTATGCATGTAGTTTATATATATTTTTTTTTATATGGACAGGTGTTGAAAACTGGCACTTGTGCTAAATAAAACGCTCAAAGCAATGCATCTGGCTTGTCTCATGCGATTGTGATGTACCTAATAAACATACATTTAAATAATATATAAAATCAAATACTAAAGGTAAAAGGTTGCCCAGCTGTTGGAGTGAAATCTATACTAGGCCTACTTCATGACATCACAAGGTGGAACAGAGCATTTTGAACTTGTGAGATGTAGACAGACTAATAAAGTCTTACTCAAACATTTGTGAATTAAATAAAATGCAACTCTGGGAATGTTTTTGAGGAGGTAACAACAGTATAACATGGCGTAAAGCTAACTCAGTCGTGCGTAATATAGACCCTTTAACTTTCATATTAACTGGATGTAACCTAATTTTTTTATATATATATATTTTTTTTTATTTCCCTTTAAAAGCGAATGGGTAAGTTTATCCATGTTTACTAGTCACACAAATGGTTAAAACCCACCTGCTGCACCTCCGCCCCCTCGGCTCCTCTCCGGGCTCACGCGGTGGATTCATCCCGAGGAGGAGCTGCGCAGAGCGGACACGCCAGCTCCCGTCTGTCCGTCCTCCCTCCACAGAGATAACCTTTCAGATAGCGCGAATGTGGTTTGTTTATCTTCTAATGAGATCGACTTCCCGCTATAAAGAGATTAATTAAACCGGACTGAAGAGGCGCGAGCTGCAGGTAAGAGCCCAATAAGCGTGAAAAGGCTGACGTGGACGCGTGGGCTACAGTGCGTTTATTCATTTATTTTTTTTATTTTTTGCTGCTGGAAATGGGGGTAAGCTACGTTTCAGGCTACGTTAAAGACGCACTATGTAACTTTTCTGTCGGTCTCCATATTAATTTGTCTGGAATGTTTCTCAGTAAGGCATTAAACTTATCCATCTTACAATGAATAATCAATAAAATTAAAATA